CTTAGTAAAACCAATAGCTTCTCAGCTTCGCATCGAAGCTAAAAATTATATATATATATATATATTAAAATATAAAGGGTTGTTGTAGACCATAATACGCTGATACCTTGTAAATACAACAAATATGTTTGTTTGATGTCACCAGTGGTGGACATACTTTAGTATGTCGAAGACCGTTACCTTAAAACTAGAGAGAATTATTTAAAGGGGAAAAAAAATAAGATACTCGTGAATATTGAAGATATTCACGCAATAACAAGATTTTTGTTGATTAAGAAAATTAAGAGGACTTTATTAAATTATTAGTTAAGTTAATAGTGGACAAAACCCGAAGGCAAAAACCACTCTGCAAATAAAGGGACAAAAGAGAAAAAAAACAATAATTATAATTATTAATAAATATTATTATAATATATGTATATATATTATAATATATATATTTTGATAATGTACTTTTTTTACAATTAGGGAATTTTTCCGATAATTACTTACTATTTGTAAAACGTATTGTTTCTGTTCTTCATTTGTAGTTAATATATTAATGTAGTTTTAGATTAATTTAATGTCACGCGAGGCTGTATCATTAATGACTCGTAATTTACTTATAGTATTTAAAGCATTTATGTAACTGTTGTTCGCACTCCAAAATGATGGATCAATTTTCAAAAAATCAGTGTTCAGATTAAATAGTTGTAAATTTGATGGTAACTTACTACCAGTTATTTCGTGGGAATAATTACCAATAAGATAAATATTAGTTCGTAATACTTTAAAAGACACTAAAAGTATTGTACATTTGTAATTAAAACGTATCATTTAATATATAATAATAAAACAGGTAAAATATATTTAACGTGTTCACAAATTGTTTGCTGCATTTATACGACACAAATTATGTTAGTTGTCGAAAATAACTCAAATATACTCATCTTTAATAATATAATTGGTANAAATAACTCAAATATTCTTATCTTTAATAATAATATAATTGGTACTATCTTAAAGTAATTCAGTAAACCAAAATTGATATATTGATACGACAAAATGTAATAATACAATCAATTTTGTTAAATTTGTAATTAATCATTAATTAACTGTCCATAAAATAATAAATCTAATATAATTATCGTACTTGGCATAAAAAATTAAACTTCTAGAATCTTTTTTTAAACGAATATGCGTTTTCCAAAAAATAAAATGAAAATAAATAATTAAAAATCAACAAAATCAGTTATAACGTATTTTAAGACTTTTACATGTTTTTTACTGTATGTAGTGTTTTTGTGGGCTATTTATTGAGAAAACAACATTGAAGTTATTATTTTTGAATTTCTTGTAAAATTTCCTTTACTTGAGTTTTACTTTTATTATTCTAAGTAAAGAGAAAAAAAAGTTATGAGACATAGATCAGTTATTTCTATTAAATTTGATTCTTCGACTCAACTTAATAGGCCCGGGGGCACGGGTTAACCTTAACGGATCGGTCCCAAATTTTGCACAGCTCATTTTTTTTGACCATTAAAAAAAAATTAAGGGGTAGCGTAAAAAAAAAATACATTCGATTTTTGAGGGCCACCCTAGTGTGGACCTATGCGGTCATGACGTTGTTTTCGAGCAAATGCTTTGCTCTTTTGAGATTCACGTGCTATCTCATACTTTGTTTCGAGCGGAATATCACTACTTGGTGGAAAATCTACTATAGTTTGAATCAATGACTGATGTTTCTCGGGACAGAAAAGTTCAATTGGAGTAAAACTAGTGGACTCGTGAATGGTATTATTCAAAACCCACTCGATATATGAAACGTAGCGAGGCCATTCAGCATGATACTTAGAACAATGAGTACGAAACAAGCGTCCTAGTTCTCTCATCACCCGTTCTGTTGGATTTGACTGTGGATGATAAACACTAGTCAATGTAGGTGGAATTCCATGCATCGATAACTTAGACTGCCAAACCTTACTAATAAATTGTTTGCCATGATCAGAGACTATAATTTTCGGTTTACCCCAATTTGGTATATAATTATTAACTAGTCGATTGATTGTAGCAACACTAGTAGCTTTTTTTAATGGATATAATTGAACAAATCGAGAAAAGTGATTCATTACCACAAACAAATAAGATACTCCATTCCAACCAGCAGGCAATGGCCCATATAAATCAACAAACACACAATCATTTGGAGCATAAATAGGGTCGTATCATTAGTAAAAATTAAAAATAAATATATAATTTTTGTATTCATTTAAAGAAATTAATTGTAAAAAAAAGATCATCCACAGAATTAAAACTTACAATATTGTCAACATAAGATTGACTTTTACTAGATTCATGTTGTTCACCATGTACTTCATTATTTGGTCTGAAAAATAAATGCAATTGATTTAAACATCTAACTTTATAAAAATTAAACACAAAAGCAGGGTAATTTTAAAAGAATAGGGTATATGTGAATGAAATATTTTAAGCATAATTCTGAATTTTGCAAAAAAGCATTTTACCATGAATACAAGTTTTTTTAAATATTTTTTGTGAGCAAAGCATAGTTTAAAAGTTAAAATTTAAAAAGGAATAATCTTTTTCATTTTTTAACAATATTATTCATTAAATGTTAACGCGTATCCAAATGGTACGGCCCTCAAGGTATATATATATATTAATTATATATATATATATATATAAACCTCCACTTCGGATTCGCGGACCGGAATTTCGCTATCGAGCGGCGTACGGGGCGGTAAAATTTCGGTAGCTGGGTCCCTCCCTTCGCTACGTATGTTTTCCTCTAGCATAATTAGCATGTTGGGTTTCGACGCGTAGCATGGTAGCTGTCTGAAAGCGCATTCGCGACGTAATTCAGCATAATTCACATTTGTGCTAATGATTTCCCCGACATATTGACCGTGAATATTATATGTTTTTTTACAAACCTTAATAATCAAATGTATGCTACGTTAATAGCGGAGATAAACAATATCTCCGTTTACGGTCAAATTTGCTACTGCAGTAGAAAACAAGCGTTATTATTATTGCTTTTCTTGTAATAAAGTACCGCGATATGGTGATACGGGGCCGCCGTATATGATATGGCAGCAAGTGAACAATAATAATAACGGTTACCTGGGAATCGGCCGCTTTGACAAGGTCAGACGAAAATATACTATTTTTATCTACCAAAAGACTGTAACTATCGGCCGGAAATTCACTTCTTGTCCATTGAACATTTAATTTTAAAAAAAAATATTCTAAGTCCAAATAAATTAAAAAAAACTAAGTGTTTTATAGATTGAAAAAATATATTTTTTATATAGTATAATAGATTTTGTGTATCTTAAAATCGCCAAAAGAACTGATTTTAATAGGAAAAAATGGGTTTTTATAGTAGACGAGGGTCCTGTAGCGATCCCTAGTGTGATCTTAGAAACTGTAGATCTTAATTAATAGTTAAATGTGATTGGCTGGAACTAATTAAAAACCCANAATGTGATTGGCTGGACCTAATTAAAAACCCGCACATGGGCGTTACTTTGAATCTGTACGATAATCAGATTTAATTGCCTGATTTATTGATATTTTAAGTTTTAAATAAGGGAACTCTGTTTTGGTGATCTTGTGAATTCACAATATATGACATACATGTACAAAAGATAACATAATATAATATTTTAATATTATAAGTAATAATATAATATTACATTGGTCCATCCTGAACCTACTAAAATACCTAGACAATCATTGTTGCAACTTGAAGGAGAAACTAGGTATATTTTCATAAATATTGAAAAAAATAAAATATAATTCATACTTCTGATTTAATAAAGTTAAAATTAAACTGTTTTTATATTTTAGTCAGTAGCTCATAATTATTTTTAGATTAATATTAAAATTTAAGAATCTTATTTTAACAAATATAATATTTAATATTTTTTTATTATAAATAGAAATTGTGTTTTAAAACTAAGAACTTAAATTATTAATATATACAGCTGAATACATTTTATATTACTCATGTCAATAAATTATGCACTTGTTTTTCGCGTGAAATTATAATTTGAAATAAATTAATCTTTGATTATTTTTAATTGTGAATATAAATTATAAAAAGATATTCTTGATTGAATTACTAAGAAATAAATTTATTAATAAGTCATGCCCTTTCAAAATACATCAGATAGTATATCACGACAATGGAATCATAAGGTTCTATCTGTATTTTTTTTTTAAATAACTTTTTTAGATATAGATTTCAATTATTAAACTCTTTAATTTATTGTAAAAATTAAGAAATTAAATTAATTATTTTATGAACTACGTAGAATGAAAAAATTGGAACATAAAATTAAATTAAAGACTAATTATTTTAGACATAATAAAAATTTTATTTTATTTAAAAAAAGCACAGTGTGAGCGTAGCATAGTTAGTGACTAGTATAGATGATATCTGACAGTGATTAAAATCTCTATCATAAGAAAAACGCTTCGATGCAAAGCTGTAGGTAGTTTTTAATTTTAGAAAATTGGTGGATTATTCCAAAAGCAATATGATCTCCTATTTACTTATTTATATCCTGCTAAGTAGATTTTAGATTTACCTATGGTTTCAATCTAAAAAAAAATTATTTTAATTTGTTCATTTTTTAATAAATTAGAGCAATTTTTAGAAAAAAAGAAATGTCGAAATTTACCGATTTTAAAAATTGTAATTTTTTGGGAGATTTCCATCATTTACGGGGAAACAGGGGAAAATTTTTTGATTTTTGATGGTAATGTCTTCAACTAGATATGATTTTTGATCTTTTGACGTATCGTTGAGAAAAATCTGTCCAGTGAGAGTTGAAAAAAAGTGTGACAGACACAAAAAAAAAACACATCATGGTAAAATTAATACCTTCTCAGCTTCGCACCGAAGCTAAAAAAACTTAATATTGTAACGAAACACTGATGTTTTATATCGACTTCATTTAAAATGAAGTATAACGTTTTATTATTTTAACAGTGGAATTTATTAGTGTACTCTAAAATATTTCACTATTAAATGTTTACAAAATCTTAATTTAAAAATTACTTTAATTTTAATAATTAAAACTCAAAACCATTAGCCAATTTTTATTATAAGATATGTGATTCGACATAAAATTATTCAAAATGACTGTAGAAATTTCTAATGTAAAATCGAATGTTTTTATTCGAAGTCTTAAACTTCAACCCACAAAAACCGCAATAAAAAGAAACACTTGAGTACTAAAAATAGTGTTTAATTTCTAAATTATATGTTTCGGTGTATGCAAATCGGAATAACAGCAGGTGTTGATGAATCGATATATTTTCATTGAAATAGATCAGATTTCATGAAGACAGAATTGCCAAGCTAACTAATTGACCGGATCTCATCATTTTCACCGTTTACGGTTGATTACATAGTATTATTCAAAGAGTGTGTGATAGTAGAATACATTTTGAGGGATTGTATGTTTCCGACTGTGGTAATGAATTTGATGATTAGAAAATTATAAATTAATAAGCAAAAAGTTTATCGGAATTATATGTTTATTAAATAAATAATCCCATAACAATATCCTTTTTATCAGTTATAGAAAAATGAGTAAGTCATTGAAATATTTACTTATAAGTCAAATTGAGGACCTATTTAAAAAAAAAAAGAGGAGTAAAAAAGTTACATTTTATTATTTGTGCGTGTGTGTGTATATATTAGGGTGGCCCTCAAAAATCGAATGTCTTTTTTTTCTTTATGCTACCCCTTAATTTTTTTTTAATGGTCAAAAAAGTGAGCTGTACAAAATTTGGGACNTTTTTTTTAATGGTCAAAAAAATGAGCTGTGCAAAATTTGGGACCGATCCGTTAAGGTTAACCCGTGCCCCCGGGCCTATTAAGTTGAGTCGAAGAGTCAAATTTAATAGAAATAACTGATCTATGTCTCATAACTTTTTTTTCTCTTAACTTAGAATAATAAAAGTAAAACTCAAGTAAAGGAAATTTTACAAGAAATTCAAAAATAATAACTTCAATGTTGTTTTCTCAATAAATAGCCCACAAAAACACTACATACACTAAAAAACATGTAAAAGTCTTAAAATACGTTATAACTGATTTTGTTGATTTTTAATTATTTATTTTCACTTTACTTTTTGGAAAACGCATATTCGTTTAAAAAAAGATTCTAGAAGTTTAATTTTTTATGCCAAGTACGATAATTATACTAGATTTATTNTGGGCCACCCTGTATAAACTATTAAATACTTTGTCAAATAAAAAAAAAACTTTGTTACACCACAATTATTATGGACGCATATACAATTTAAAAACTATAATAGTGAAAATTTAAATAATAATATTTATGAAATATGTTTAAAAGAATATTAATATTAAGAACACTATTAAATCCTTATAAATCTTTTTGTATGTTAAAATATATAAAATTTTGACATACTAACATTCGTAAAAATAGAAATATGTCATAAAATAACTTATATTATTTTATAATATTATATGTTATTTTTTTTTATATGAAGTAAAACTGCAACTAAAAAAATAATTTAAAATTAGGAACATGTATTTTATACATAATCACAAAAACAGTAATAAATGATATCCAACCCAATTTTCTATTAAATTTAATTGATAGCATTAAAATTTAATATTCTATAAACAAAGAACAAAGAATTTCATTAAAATTCAATTAGATTTTCGATAAAATGATCTACTGACAATTCTTCATTCATAATTTTCTTATTTTCTTTTATAAAATCTAATACTAGCTTAAGGTATGCTTGAAAGCATCTTAAATCCCTTTTAACCATTTAAATTCCTATTCAATAACTAATATTTTATATTAAAATTTTACTTACCAAAAGAATTTTCCCGTCCAATGAAAACAAAATTGACATGAGGTACTGTCTTAAGTGAATCTATTCCGCTGCTCTTTGCAAGCTCTGTGTCATAATAAAGTTCTAATATATTTTAAGTTAATTAAATAAAAATATCGTGAAACTTTTAAGAAAATTGATTCAAATACATATTTGTCATGTATTTAAAGGGTTGAGAGTAATAGAATAAAAAATAATTTCTTACAAAATTTTTTTTTTATTTTTTTTTCAATATTCAATTTAAAAGTTTATTTAAGCTAATAAAGTATAAAGTCTGACTATAGTTAAATATTTACTTCGTACGTTTCGGTGAACTAATTTTGATCCTCGTCACTCTGACATTTTTGCTGAAATTAACAGTAAATTTATTGATTTTTTCCAATTAATTACAGTAGCTATTTCAACCATAATTTCTTGAATGACAGTCTCTTTCTGCCATTATAGCAGCTTTTTCCGCTTTTTCACCTGCTCCAATCAAATTTTCTACTAACGTTGGATGTTTAAAAAAGGTTTTATTTATTTGTCGGCCGGCATTCTCTAACATTATTTTGCCCACTATTTCGTTCTTGGAGTTTTTAATTATTATTTGTCGACATTGCCCTTCTTTATTTTCTTTATTTCGTTTAAATTTTATTAAGGTTCTATCTATTACATAATAAAAAAATTCAAATAATATTAATAAAAATACTAATCAATCAAATAAATGAAATATATTGACCATAATTTTCACTTAATATTTTATAAACAAACTTTTAAACTAGATTTTATCATTTAAAAGACTATACTATGTAAAACACCTATAATAATTTTAAAAAATATATGTAATCAATAAATTATTTAAGAAATTTAAGATAAGTTTTATAAATTAAATTGTTAGATCATTAAAATAACTTGCATGACTTATTCAACTAAAAATTAATTGCAAAATAGCAAGATAAAACGAATTTTGGACGAGGGACACGTACAATTCAATCCCTCCCTCCATAGATATACTTGCAGTACGTGTAATACATCATTACTTTAATTTGAAATATATTAGTCATTAATTTAAGTATTACATTTCGCAAGCTTAGAATGAAAGTGTTAATACTATATGCATAATTATGTTTAGGGAATAAATTGTGTTAATACTATCAAAAAACACGCTTATGTCTTGAAGTAATGACTAATGGCAATTCCAAAACGGCCTATATGATGCCGGTTAAGGAAAGAAAAAAGTAACACAATTAAAAACAGTTGAAATTTGATAATAATAAATATGTAAACCAAATCTTAGTAATTACATTTTTTACATTTTTAAAACACTTAGTGTCATTATTTTTACAAATACTTAGTCGTAAAAATAAACTATCAAAGTTCATTTAGGATCCTATTTATATTGGACAAATAAGAAAAAAATTTCTATGGTATCAAATTTATATCCATGTATATAAAAAACGGAAGTAAACATTATCTTTTTACGTTTTTTACTGGTAACAGTAAAATAATGTTTACTTCCGTACTTTACAAACATGGACTAACAATTTGATACCATATAAAATTCGTAAAAAAATTAAAAATTTAACAAACTTCAAAACGCAATAACTGAATTAAAATAAGAACTTTTGGTTTTGAACTTTTTCGTTAAATCTTATTCAAATCTTAAAAAAAAATTAATTTTTAAAATATTTTTTGTAATTGCGAAAAATAACAAAAAACCCAGCACAGTGGTGACGTGGCATAGTTGGTTCAAGTATAATGATATCTGACAATGATTAAAATCACTATCATAAAACACGCTTCGATGCAAACCTTTAGATAGTGTATAATTTTAAAAAATTGGTAGATTATGACAAAAGCTACATGACCTGCTATTTCCTTATTTATATCCTAATTGAGATAAAGTATGTCGAATGAAAGAGAGATATAAATATTATATCTCATAAAAAATCTTATCTATAAAATGGCTACATTTAAATCTTAAAAAAAATTTTAGTAAAAAAATTAATTTTTAAAATATTTTTTGTAATTGCGAAAAATAACAAAAAACATATTTTAAAAAACCCAGCACAGTAGTGACGTGGCATAGTTGGTTCAAGTATAATGATATCTGACAGTGATTAAAATCACTATCATAAAAACGTTTCGATGCAAATCTTTAGATTGTGTTTAATTTTAAAAAAATTGGTGTATTATTCCAAAAGCTACATGATCTACTATTTCCTTATTAATATCCTGATTAAGATAAAGAATGTCGAATGAAATATGGATTATTAAAAAATATTATTTTATAATTTTACTAAAATTTTATCACAGAAAATAGCATTCGGTAGCCATTTTCACCACAAAGACAAGTCCAGAGGTCAAATTTTTTTTTTTCATAATAAAGTATATTACATTATCTTTAATTTAAGATATATATAAAGGAGATAGACTTTTTCGGAACACTTTCAAAAGTTGTAAAAGTAAATTTTTTGTGAAAAAGTTGTCATTTTAAATCCCTCCTGTGAGCAGGTAAAGGGTTAAATGTATAAAAAAAAATATACCAAATTATAGGTAAAGACATCAAGTATCTATAAAAAAAAATTATATTGATTTGTTCATTTTTGTAAAAGTAATGGCAGTTTTAAGAAAAAAAAATTGAAAAAATTTCGAAAATTAGCGATTTTTAAATTTGTAATTTTTTTGGAGGTTTCCGCCATTTACGGGGAACGAGGGAAAATTTTCAATTTTTGAGAGTAATGACTTGGACTAGAAACAATTTGTGATCTTTTGACGTATTTTTGAAAAAAATCTGTTAGGTGAGAGCTTAGAAAAAGTGGAAACAGACACAAAAAAAACCTTCAGTTTTGTATCGAAGCTAAAAGTTGGTCAAGTGAGCTCTGAGGAAATAAATGAAAGCCATAAAAAAAAATTTCATAGTAAAAAAACTTTAATATGAATAATAAATTTCATCAAACAAGAGGGGACTACAATGATGGGGTCCTTGATTTTTATTAACGTTATTGAATCTAAATGAGGTATAAATTAAATGATTTAAAAACTCAAATACTTTCGTAAGGTATTCTAAAAATTTTAACACAAAAATAGCAAACACTAAACATTTTCACCATAAAAACAAAATAAAGTTCGAAATTTTTTTTTTCCATACTAAAGTATATTACATAAGCTTTAATTTAAGAAATACAGAGTGTTCAATAAATTTGGAAACACCGATTTTAATAATTTTAGTATTGATGCGAAGCTGAGAAGGTATTAATTTTACTATGATGTATTTTTTTTTTTGTTTTTGAACGCTCAATCTCAGCTATCGCTGTACCGATTTTAATGAACAATACATCAAAAGATTACAAATCGTGTCTAATCGAAGATATTACCCTTTTTTTTTTTCTCTCCGACCGACTTATTGTGAGCCGCCTTGGAACTGCTGTTATGCATTACTTCAGGGCGGCCTAAACCAGCGCCTCAGGTCCTCCTGTGTCGGGTGGCGTGGCTGCTTTACGAATACGGTGTAAGTACTCGTTAAACCAGCCGTAGCCGGATATCACTTGTATGAGACGATAGGTCATCTCACCGTGAGTCCGGTCCAGCCGATCGGGTCCTATGAGGGACCTGGTCCACTCGTCTTTCATCGTTTCCTCTGAGAGGCGGAGTCCGCCACCGAAGCATGGTCATATGCCTGAGCGCCAGCCGGTCCTCGGGTTCGAGGGACCGACCCCGTTCTCGGCGGAGCTCATGGCTGGAGGCGCGTTCCTCGGTGAGCAGGTCGGCGGGTGGCAGTGACAACAGGACACACGCCGCCACTCCGGACACCGCTCGGTACGCCGAAACTGTCCAGATCGCTGTCCGTCTCTGCATCCTGAGCAGGGCTTCACGGTTTTTGGACGAATACTAAAGAGTATCCGCCCAAACCAGGGACCCGTACAGGAGGACCGAGTGTACGACGCTGACTAAAAGTCTGCGCTGCATATCCCTCAGCCCTCCCAGGTTGGGATTATATTGTATTGTATTGAATTGTTAATATTCTGAATAAAAAAAAAAAAACTCCAATAAGCAATAGATTTTTTATATCATGTATTTGAAAAAAATTAGTAAATTTATGCATAATATTTGTAGTTATAATTATGAATAAAAATATCAATTAAAAAAAAATTTCTTTAAATCCTCTTAACTTTAATCATAATAGTTCATGTTATTTTAATTATCAATTTAAATCAAATTTACTTATTGCAACATTTTGTTGTAATGATTGTAAATATTCTGAATTTAAAAAAAAAAAAAAAATCCTCTTAACTAAATTTTATTATTAACCCAACCGGCTTATTGTTAGCCGCCTTGGAACTGCTGTTATGCATTACTTCAGGGCGGCCTACTCCGTCTTAATAATTCACACCACCACGTTGTGAATGATTTTAACGCGTCTTTATCATTTTTTGGTATAAAAATTTAAAGGTTCTATGTTAGATATTTTCAAATTGACTTTTAATTTTTTAACTTTTTATAATTTTCTGTACAAATTAATCAATTTGAGAAATTTATTTTTAATAACCATTGTACTATTGTCATGTTGTGCTACATTATTTATGATGAGTTTTTAATTCCTGTGGTGAAACTTTTTTTTAACATAATATTATGAGGTTGCCGTGTTAGGAAAAATACCACATACTCTTCTTTATACCGGAGATATGTTGTTGGATTAATACCTACTTTTTTACGTAAATAATATATTATGTAATTAATTTAGTACTGGATTTAGAATGCTGATATTATTACTTTTAAAGCTACTAAATATGCAAAATTTATTTAATTTTTTTTTTTAAGTTCTATCTATTAAAATCAATAATATTAAAAACTAAAAAGTTTTACCTATAAAATCTTATTGCTCTGTAAGCAAAATTTTGTACTCTTTTATTTTTCACAGATTGATTTTTGTTTTGATGATTAATATTTAAATAATGTACACATTATTTTTGATTTTTTTTTGTAATTATTCACTAAAATAATTTAGGTTATACCACGTGCGCTTTAATTTTACGTTCATTTTTCTGTTGCGCATTGTATCTATTAATTTTAAATACGTATTTTTAAGATAAATACATAAAAAATGTGCATGTATATGAAACTAGTTATATGAATATTATGATCATTTCACTGTACTATAAGCTCTATCTTTCCATTGAATAATTCATTACTTAATAATTCATCTACTATTCTGTTGTGAATGAACATCGTCCAGATACATGTAATGTCTTATTAAATTACATTAGATTTACTCAATTTTATATTTTCAGCAGAATGCACGGTTCATAAATTTAAAAAATAAACAAATTTCTCTACATTTTTAATTGCATAATAAGGAATTAGTATTTCTATGGAAACAGGATTTGTTAATAAGTTATTTAAGAAAAATATACATTTAAAAAGTTACTAACCTTATTCAATGAACAATGATTATCATCATTTAATGTAATAAAATTTAGTTAAGAGGATCTTTTTTTTTTTTTTTAGAATATTTACAATCTATACAACAAAATGGTGCAATAAGTAAATTTGATTTAAATTGATTATTAAAATAACATGAACTATTATGATTAAGAGTTAAGAGGATTTAAAGAAATTTTTTTTTAATTGATATTTTTATTCATAATTATAACTACAAATATTATGCATAAATTTACTAATTTTTTTCAAATATGTGATATAAAAAATCTATTGCTTATTGGAGTTAAAAATAACCCAAAATAACACATCATTTTTTAAATATATATGAAAAAATAGGAAAAAATACAAAAAGAATTTTCTGAAATATAATACAATGAATATTTTATAAAAGCCCAAAATACATTGTTACAACATAAAAATATTACCTTGATTTAAATAATAGAACTATTGAATATGGATTTAAATTATATAATTCATTTGTTAATTTAATGAATAAATCATATCAAAAGTCAGTCAATAAAACATAATAAATATTTAAATAATTATTATAATAATTAATTGCAAACATTTTATAACTGACATATGATTAATTAATTAATTAATTAAATTAATATATATTAATTTAATTAATTAATTAAATTAATATATATTTATTTTATTAATTTAATTAAATATTTATGTAATACATAATTACATTTAAAATAAAAAACAAATTCTCTTTTAAAGAAACACATTATAATAAATGTTTTTATGGTCGAAAATTAATTTTTTTCAATAATAATATCAATAAAACAAACTAAACTAATTAAATTAAAATTAACATATTTTAAATTGAAGTGATGGGGTAAATTCCAATTTACAAAGTATTTCTAAATATATATCAAAATCAAAAATGAATGTTACATTAATTGTTATGGTTACCAAATATGAAACTATACAATGTTTTAGCATGAAAACTTTAAATGATAATTCATCTATAATACAAGAATCTAATATAACAAATATAAAAGTTGTTAAAATAAACTTATTATAAAATAATTTCTGTTTAACTTTGTTAGTTATGTAAGCATCAAAATGATAGTTTGAAATTAATTAAAATAATAAAATATATTAGTGTAGAGTATGTTAAACCTAGCATTTATTATTAGATGAGGTTATGCCATTAATTTTTCTGTAAAAGAAAGATCTGGGGACTACGAAAGAGGAGAGAAATGTTAAAGAGTATAAACGCATAGCAACTTGGAATGTAAGAACTTTATTACAATGTGAGAAGTTGGATAACCTGAAAATGGAAATGAACAGGATGAATATTGATATCCTTGGAATATCAGAAATAAGATGGCCAAAGTCAGTAGACTTCTGGTGTGGAGACTATAGAAAAATACATACAGGAGCATCAGAGAAGAAATCTGGCACAGGAGTAGTAGGGATTATAATAAATAAAACCCTAGGTGAAAAAGTTAAAGGCTATATACAATACGATGATAGAATTATTGTAGTCAAGTTCCAGATGAAACCAAAAGACACAATAGTAGTTCAAGTGTATATGCCAATAACAAATAGTAGCGACGAAGAGCTAGAAGAAGTATATGAAAATATAGTCAAATTAATTGAACATATTAAAGGGGAAGTAAAACTGATAGTAATGGATGACTAGATTTTCTTAATTGTAGCTTTATCAGTGATTATTGTTCTGAGGGGATAGTAATTACGGGTTCCGGAGATTGCCACGAACTGATGATGCCCCGACTTTCATTTACTCCGACACTGTAAAAAAATCCTTCGAATACATTTACACCGACAACAATTACTACGAATACCTGGTTACAAAAATTTGGATGTTACTACGACGACGAATACTCCGAATAGGACTATTAATTGATTGCTCCGAATGAAATTAGCTCCGAATATCGATAATTCGGGAAATCGATTAAAAAATTATCAAATTTCGGAGTAGATGAATATCGTAGCAATATATTATCTGATGGAAAAATATAACCCTTATCACTAATTAATAAATATTAATTAATATAATAAAATAGCGTTATAATTGATTACTGTCTATTAACAAATAATTATTACAATAAAGATCCCCGAAATGTATCCGACTTCTGATAAAATAGGTACATAAAGGTAACATAACTGGTGTGAGCCCTTAAATTTTTTTTTGGAGGGGAAAGAAGAGCGATTCCAATTTTCAGACGTAAAATCTTTTTTATCTCTCCTTATTAGTGCTTATTATAACATTGTAAGCACATTAATATTATAACATTCAATTAGTTTAGTTAAAAAATATAGAGGTACGTTTTTATGATGATAGTATTCGTTATTAAACAGATGCGTTTATAAAGATATTCGGTATCCCATTCTCTAAAACTGTCATTACAATTAGTTTCATATGAAATCAAACAAAAATATGATTTAATATAATTTCATTGTTCAAAGGCGAGTAACGAAATTAATTCAGTCCAGTTTGGATTTGACCGCAATCTGGAGAGACTTGAGGGGGCTTTGTCTCCTAAAATTCTGCCATAGACTATACCGAAAATGAATTAATTTGTATTTCTTGTTGTATAGAAATATTTTTTTAGATTAGGTAAAAAATTATGTAATTAGAGTTCCCAAATATTTTGTTGCAATACTCCTACGCTCTAGTCAAATTAAGTAAACACAAGGCAGTTATAAGTTAACAGTGGACAATAGTTTATGATTTATCATAAACTTACAAAAATCTTCTGCTAAGTAAATTGGTTTTAAACTTAACTAACTCGATTAAAAATATGCAGTCAATTCATTAAATAATGGTTCAGTTTTTTTTCATTTGCATTATGATTATTTGAAGTTTTGTCAAATATACGTATAGAGTTAAATATTTTAATTTATAATCATGATTGATAATCAAACAATTATTCATTTTTTCTCATTAAATGGAAATCAAATATAATAATGTAATATTGAAACTGTACAACTTTTTTTATAAGACATATATATATAATTACATTTTTACAAAACATAATACATTACATTACGTGATTTTATTTTGAAAATTAATTTTTATTTTTTTTGGAATATGCTTTCATATTCTAAAAAGTACATATAAAATTAATTCAAATTTTTAAAAAAATTTCATTTTGTATTTATAAAACAATACATTTGTATTTGCAGGATACGCGTTAAGCTAACGAGATGAAAACATTGGCAAAATAATCATCTTTTCGCAGTGTCGGCCTGGCTCAGAAGGCCCTCATTAAATTTAAGATTTTTTTTCTCACTGGACCACTGAGAAAATTGTCCAACAAATTTAATTATTATTAAAAAAAGGAAAGGCTATTCAGATATTTTTTTCAAGGAAATATTAAACTGATTTCAATAAATGTATATTAGATTTTAAACAAAAAGAACTTTAAATAAATAATTTTTTACTCCTTAATATTTTTAACTTTTTTTTGAGCACCACTGGAGATTATAATGGTTTTACTTATAATTTAACATTGATTATAAAACTCATGTCACAAAATTAAATTTTTTTAACGATGAGTTAATATATTTTTAATTTTAGATGACACACAGAATTTTTAAATAAGAAAAAATTAATTCTACTTATATATAACCAAAACTTACTAATTCTTAGCATAACTCATATTAGACTTGTAGCAAAACTTACACAGTTTAATACTATTTTAATTTTTTTTAATATAAGTTAAAAATAATTTTAGTAATTAATTTTCAATTAAAATTGCTGAAATAAAAATTAATCATACTCTTCTGAGTCTATAAAAACCTATTGGAAGAAACTTCCAGAAAGTAATAAGACTAAAAAAAATGTGTTCAACAATTACTGCATTGAAGTTGGATATACTGTGTTATTTTATACTTAGATATCCTAATGCAGCACAGGAAAAAATCCAGACATCCCCAAGAATGATTTTATATTGTACAAACAATTTTATGTGTTATATTAGTTATTATTTTTTAATATTACACACTTAGGAATTAATCACTAATAAAATTGCACAAGACAATTTTTACAGCACATATTTGTTATAGAAAAATTAGTTTTCAAATGGATCTTATAGATGTTAAAAAATAAGTTACTGTTAGATAAAATTTTGTGGATCGACTGAAAAAACAGTTAACTAACAATTTTTTGATTTGATGAAAATATTTTGTAATTATTGGATTATTAAAAAAATAAAATTCTCAAAGATAAATATATATTCTAACAATAGAGAAAACTTTTTAAAAAATGTACATTTGTTTTAAACACTATTAATTGTATGTTACTTAATGAATGACTATTATCATTCGAGTATTAATAACATATGTCAAATGTGAGAAATTGTACCAGAAAATAATAAGCAAAATGTATATTATTGTATAATAACTATAGTAGCAAATAAATGCTAATTGAATAGAACATTTTAATTTAAATTTTACAATATTATTAATAATAATATAATTAATTCAATAATGTAGTGTTTCTGTAGCCACGTGACCCTGACGTTGCAACATATACGATCAATGCGCCCTATTACTAACAATGCAATCGAAATATAATATAACTTTCGATGCATAATCAAACTATCGATAATGTCGGAGTTTTTACTATCTCATTTTTTAAATTTAATGTCGGAGTAAAATCCGTCATAACTTTGGTAACCTATGAATCAGATGGTCGGAGTACCAGATGTTCGTAACAATTACTACTTTGTCAAATGTCGAAGTATGTAAATGTCGGAGCATCATCAGTTCGTGGCAAAGGTGGGATCCCAGTAATTACGGACGAAGCGAAATTTTTACGATAAACCGATAATCTATCCGATACTATAAAAATTACATTATTTTAAACACAAAAAATTATTGTTTAAAATAAACAATTTTTGAATTAAGGTAAAGCAATTTAAATTATATTATACCTAAAAAATTATTAATAATACACTTGATAAACTCTTGATTACTCTTTATTAATTGTTCCCACTCATTATTACTAAACTAAAACTAACAAATACCTTGTTCAATAAAAAATATAATTTATTAAAAATACTAAATTTATATAAACTAAAAAATTATGATTGATATTTAAAGAACCTCTTCAATGAAAAACAGATTCACGTATTTAAAGTGTTCAATGTTTTTATCGTATTCTAAAGAATTTAAGTACTGGTTGTTGTTTTTTTGGAAAAATATTGGGTCTGATGAGTTAAAAAAAATACTGTTAATCATACTGATGCTCGCTATTAGTGTTAATTCTTATTCTCACTCATCAGCTTACCCTTATTGGGACATAATTTAGAATTAAGATCTATACATATTTCTAAATTAATGGAATATGAAAAAAATCAACACATTTTTCTAATATCAATCAACCCTAAAATATATGGAAAATTAAAAAATTTTAACATAATAGATAATTTACTAGTTTCTAATATTTCTCTTAATAATACGATGATGAATACAGTTGTAAATAATTAAAAAAAAAGTATATCAATATTATTTATTAAAATTAAATGTGTTGCATTATAATTAATTTTCTAATAACAACATTTATATAATTGTAATCATTGACAAAACTTTATGAAAAAATTTGAGGTTTATACTGATTTCTTCAGTTACCTTATTTTTTTTTTTTTTTTTTAATAATATATACGATTTTTTTTTTCTTTAGTAGGCTTCTACAACTTTTGGAAAGGATAAGTACCTTCTGATTCATGCCTATGACTATACTTTTTAACATTTTATTTATGTCATTAAAAATAAATCAAATTATTTCTAATACTCTCACAATTAGCAAAGAAATACTCATGTTTTAAAGCAAATACATAACTTTTTTCCTCTTTAAACATATTAATTAGAAGCAAATGTTTATTTGTTAAAAAACGTTATATGTTTTTTTATATAATAACAACATTTTAAAAAAAAAACAGTAACAGTTTTTTAAAGATAGTTTATCATAGCAAACCATTGTTTACATTTATAGATTTTAAAAATGATTTGACTACATATAATAAGGGATACAAAATGAAAAAAATTGATGGTTAATTAACATAAAATTTTTAATTTTTTATGTATATAATGGCAGCTAATGAGATTATTTATAAATGATTAACGCCTAGTTAGCCATGACGTAATTTTTAATACTAAATAGCCACAAGCTAATGTTAAAATTAACTTTCTTTCTTTAATGTAAAATGGTTGTGAAACTAAATGTTCTAATTCAATCACACGTCTTGAAACTCTGCTCATTTGTTGGCGTAAATGTGCAACTTCTTCAGATAATGTCATCGGTTCACTTATACTTGTATTGAAAAAACTTGTACTATAAACAATAAATAAAAACATTTTAGTCTTCAACTACATAAATTATCATGAAAGAATGAATTAAGAAGAAATAATTTGCAATTAATATATATATACATACAAAGTGTTCTATTATGAAATACTAATTTGACTATATAAACTAATATTCAAATTAGTAAATCATAGTGGGACCTCCTGTATATTGAGTGATTAATTTTAAAAAATCAATTAGTTACTCAATAGAAATCAAGAAATATATATGTTAAAAATATCAAATTTTTTTTTCCAATATTGTAATAATTTTGAGACTAATTCAGTGGGTTATGATAAATGGATCATCCTGTAAACATTATTTTACTATTCACAATATTGACAACTATAATACATTGACACAGTATCGTGTTTCTCTTAGCCACACATCACATTATCAAACTATATGAAAGTGTATCTGGGATTTAAATCATAAGTGTACAATATCCAGTATTAAAAAAACCCAGCACAAGGGGGTCGCGGCACAGTGGTGACGTGGCATAGTTGGATCAAGTATAATGATATCTGACAGTGATTAAAATCACTATAAAAAAAAAACGCTTTGTTGCAAATCTTTAGATAGTGTTTAATTTTAAAAAATTGGTGGATTATTCCAAAATCTACATGATCTACTATTTTCTTATTAATATCCTGAATAAAAAAGGGATTATTAAAAAATATTATTTCTCATAAAAAAATTGTGTTGTTCCATACACTTTTCAATAAGTTATAGCATTATATAAAAAGTAAAAAATAAAATCAAGAATTTTCATACGAAAATAGCATTCGGTAGCCATTTTCACCACAAAGACAAGTCCAGAGGGCAAATTTTTTTTTTTCATAATAAAGTATATTACATTATCTTTAATTTAAGATATATATAAAAGTGTCAGTATTTCCGGAACACTTTCAAAAGTCAAGTTGAAAAAGTAAATTTTTTGTGAAAAAGTTGTCATTTTAAATCCCCCCTGTGGGCAGGTTAAGTGTTAAATTTACAAAAACGATATACCAAATAATAGGTAAAGACATTAAACATCTATATAAAAAAAAAAATTATATTCATATGTTCATTTTTGAAAAAGTTACGGTAGTTTTTAGTAAAAAAAATTGAAAAAAATTGCATAAAAGGAATAATAAAATAGAATTAAACAACTACTTATAAAGGTTATTAACTATAATTTATATAAATACCCTATTTAATTAAAAGTTAATTCAATTTAATAAATAGAAAATAGACTATACAATCTGGGAGATTCAAATTAAAAGTAGTTTTTCCCTGGTCCATAATAAAGAAGACTGCTGAATAACCTTAAACATAAATATCTTATGAAATGAGAGTTATTATATTTACTGTTAGATACAAAAGATGCAATCAGTAGGATACATTAAATAAAAGATGATCAATTATACCAAGGATATCAAATTGTCAATTGATATCTAAAAATAAGCCCAAGGGTGTATAGTTTGTCATAATTATCAATATATTTTATTTATAAAAATGGTTTACTTAATAAGCAAAAATAAAGTTTACTTTATTGGTTTATTTTGTTCAGCTGTATTAATATCATCATTCATTATTTTATTATTAAAAACAGCATATTGATCAGGTGATGAATATTTACTATTCATATCATCTAACACAGTTGGAAAATAGTGCTTTGACAAAGTTATTTTAGATGGTGGTGTCTAAAAAAGTATTAAAATATATAATATATCAATTAGATTCATTGAATATTTTAATAGTTCGTAGTAGTTAGTTTAGTTTGTTAGTATTTTATTATTACTTGAACACGTAGTATTTCTTCTGGTGGAGGTTGAGGTATAATTAAATCATCAATTGCAAATTCTTTAGGTTTAGAAGAAGAACCCTTGTGTTGGTTATGTCCTGTGAAGTTGTGGAAAATTAAGTATTACAAAGAGGTTTGATAGTATCAAACAATATATTATTTTATAATCTAATATATATTTTTTTAAGTTAAAATTATTGTTGATAATCAATTTTTATTAAGAAATTATACTATTAAAAAAACACGTTTTGTGGTGGTCCAGTAGGTATATTTTTTTTACTAAGCAGTGATAAGCAAAGTTATGGTGATGAACTGGCACAAGGGCAAAAGGAATGGGTCTTGTACTCTAGGATTTTATACAGTTGTAACATAGTTGGGTATTGTTCGGAGGTATAGTTAAAAAAAGTTTTCTTAACCCCCTCATAATTATAAAAAAATGTATCTTCATTGTGTTAATATTTATGCCCCTTAACCACTTCCATCCTGGGCCAAGAATATGAAAAATGACTTAATCTATAAAACTTAGTACCAGCACAATTAAAAATAATAATAAAGGGTGATTAAAAATCTTCATCCGATTATATGTTAATACAACTGCTTAACCTAGGTTAATGACTCTACATTTAATGAATGGATAAATTGTTAAATTTATTTGTTACATATAATTTTGTATGGTAGTTATTAATAATAATAGACTTAATAAGATCAGTTTGTGATAAAATTTTAACAATGAAACAAAAATCATTTTGTATACTTTGTTTTAGTTACAATACCTCTTTCTCTTAATTTTCAAAAAATTTATGATGTTAAAATCTCAAATGGTCACAGAATTAAATTTCATAAGTTCTAAAAATGTATGTAAAACAGTTATATTCGATTAAAACCAAGGGCACAAAACACATTCCCATGTGGGTCATAATATGATGATAACATAGTGTAATGTACAAATGATCACCAATCACAAAAAAAAACATAATGAGCCTAATGTAATTTTTAAAAATTATGCAAGAAATTATCATTCAATTGTTTTAGTTGAATTAGTTTTAACTTTAAATAAAATATTTCTGACATATTTGCCCATAGTGACAAGAATATTTTTAAGACAATACATGTTTTGTTCTTAAATAATCTTTAAAAAGCATAAGGTTAATGAGCACCAAAATTTTGGTTCAGTTATTTAGTATATGAGGCCTGAGGTGCTAAAATGCGATTACACAAGAAGCAAAGACTAAAAACTATTGAATTAAAAAAAATAGAAATTATAAAATATAACATTTCTCTTCTATTTTTATCTACCATAGATGAAATATCACTCATTTAATAGATAAACTAAGTTGTAAAATATTAAAATTTAATTGGTACAAAAGATATCTAGTGTTTAAGTATACATATAATAAGTATTAACAGTATAATAAAAACTTGGCTATAAATAGTTGTAATAAATTACATTACTAAAAAAAAATTATACCTAAGCATAACTTTAAAAGAAGAATTAAAATAAAAATTTGGGATAAAAATTCAACCATGTAAGACTAAATTATAATAATCAGCAAATATTAGACGACATCAAGTAAAAAATGTTTTGCTTTTACCTAAAAGAATTATTTTTTCTGGAACTTGCATATCAAAATTATCTCCATAAGGGTTATCTTCGTCAGAGTAAAAATTTGTGGGTCGGAAATTAGAGACATCACCATTAACTTTTATGCTTTTAGGCACTTGCATTTTTTTGTTTATTTCTTCTGTAAAATTTGAGTCATATACATAATCATCCATTTTTTAGTAATCTGTAATCAATAAATTCTGTTAAAATATCAAAGCAAAATTGACTTCTTTAAAATATTAAAAATCACTTTTAAGTAGTAGAATCAATGTAAAATTATCTTAGAAAATGTATTATTCTTTTTTCATTGAAATGTGAACAGTTTTAAACAAATAATCAATATTTTAGGCAATATAATATACTATGTGTAAGATTATATCAAGGAAGAATTTATGTTCTTTCAAGTAAACAATAAAATATGCTAAGCTAATAGCAGTTAGCAACACTTATCACGACCATTTGATAACAAAATCCGTTAAAATATGAATGATAAATGGCAAGTATTACATTTTCACTGTTAATTTTATTATAAAATAATAACTAATGATCATTCAATTATTACATGTTCAATGTAATCTTTTAGATATTTTTATTTTTTGACATGATAAATTTTACTATTTTAAAAATTATTATTTAATTTTATATTTTAACGTACAGTATCTAGTAAAGTGATCTCTATGAAAATAAATGTCTAGGTCCGCGTTTAGTATTCGTTATAATTATTTTTTAAATATATAATATATATAAATAATATAGAAAATATAATATATATATATATATATATCGATCATTTTAAAGTTATGAAGTCCTTAATATTAATGATAATATTAAACCACCTCGTAAATACGTCTCTGTAGTTAATTATATATAACGAACTTAATAACATTTATGTAACCTGATAAACATTTTTTTGTCATTTAATACTTACATACTCATACGAACAATAAAATATCGCTTAATCAAGAATGTTTTAAAATAATCTCTTTCAGTATCTGTTAAGCATTTCTATCAAACTAAATCCTTTACGATGGTTCATTTAATCATCGATGAAAAAAACCAGTGTCGCTTTTTTTTCTTTTTGCTTATTCGAATATTCCTAAATAATGTTGCAGAGTAAAAAAAGGTTTCATAAGCAAAAGAAAAAAGTAATGCACTCCTTCAAAATTATTTTCTGTTTGCACCACTGAAAAGCACATTTATCCTGAAATATTTTATCGTTAATAATATTAATCAACAAAGGGTTGAGTCTGGATTTTTATTATTGAATTCAAATTACTTCCACATTACAAATGACAGAAAACAAAATTTTACTTAAAAATTTTAAGTTTTGTGACTGAATAGGAACACTGATTTGTTACTGCCTAGGGGTTGTGATAAAAAACTTACGTATTTATTAATTTAAAAAGTACAAAAATAAAAGTTTCCAAAAAATAATGATAGCTTTAATTTTTTTTCAACTTATGAGGCACAGAAGATGACTATTAAAATATAAACTAAAAAAAAATTGTTTTTTTTTTTACTTAATTCAATAATTAATGTACTTGAATTATATACCTATATAAGCCGCGATTATAAGGGGAACCATGAAAGTAATGGCCTCCAAAATTTTCTTCTGGCTCTACCTTTGACCTATATTTGATTGTTAAATTGTATACTTTAAAAAATATGTATTTTTGGGAGAGTTCATTTTTTGGAATAAAGTGTTCAATGAGTGTTAAAAATGTCATATATAGTTATACAGTAGAAGTCCGATAATCCGGCATCCAACAGTAGAACAAACTTTTTTGTATTTGCATACTGTATTTTTAGTTTAATTATTAACGTAATTGTTTTTATAGCAAAGTCTACACTAATAGGAAAGGGCACCGCCCGATAGACCGGAACGGAGCCGATCCCGAACGTGCCGGATTATCAGAATTCTACTGTATATGTCATAAAAAGTTATATATATATATTAATATATGTTAAAAAAAAAACAAAATCAATTACAGTTAATGAAAAATTATACAATCAAAAATTCAGTTTATAACCAATATTACGAAGAAACTGATAAATTATGTGGGATAATTTTAAACAAGTTCGTTTATTTGTATTCGTGTTGATGCTTTGAAATTTTTTTTCCACCCTTCCTTAAAAAATGTATTCTAAAGACGTTAGTTTGATTTATTTTTTTTTAGGTGTCTTATTATTCGTTTCAATGAATTTTTAGTTATTTGTGATGAAACTATTACAGATAAGTTGCAATATTAGCTTGAAAAATCAAATTCAGATAATTTTGTGTCATAAGCAGCTATTTTATTTTTTTAATTTTTACTCTCAATTACAACTGGATCAAGTGTATGAGATGTTTTTTCACTTAACTATTTTGATCACCAAGTTGGTTTCTGTTTATAAATAAATATCCATTAGTAGAGTTATTGTGGATAGAATGTACTAACTTGATTTCGTATGACATAGAAAATTACAAAAAGCGTAGTAAAATAAACCCCGTTAAATATGTACTAGTAATCACTACACAACTGATAGGATTTTCACTATCAATTCTTTATTATCTTTAATAACTACTCCACTGTTGATAAAATGGCCATAAATAACGATCATTTTGATATTTATACATACAATTACCGTTCGTTTCTACCAAACTTATATCTTATTCAGTCTTAACGGGAAAAAGGGTAACAGGGTAAGTGCTTAACTGTGCCAAAAAAAAATAGGAATTAATTTTTTTTTTTTTTTCATAAAATCCATTTTGTTTAAAAATATATTAAATCTAGGTTCCAAATATATGCTTATCCTTGGGCGTCATTGACAGTTAATACGGCACTGATCTTAGCACTACTCTTTTTGTACAAATTTCATTACATAACACAAGTCATTCAAACACACGACCCTTTACTTGTATTTTTATAAAGGTGAACTAACATTTCTAATAACTTTTACAAACGTATCTCTAGTAGCATAACTGTTTTGTTTAATTACTCAAATTTTTTAAAATTCAATAACGTGAGACATATTGCATATGCCCAGGCCAAAATTCTGCTAGCGTGCATTGGAATAATAATTTGATGATGAAAATATTTAAACGTAATAACGTAGACCATTGATAGATCATACTTAGTGTACATGACTAAATGATACTTAACAAAAGTAAGTCATCAGCTGATTTTTATCAATATTATCAACAACAAATCTATTGAGTCAGATGTTAACACCGTATCTCACAGAGATGCGTAAATATTTTTATAAAAAAACTGAAGTTTTATAATAAAAATCGTTGAAATAATATTTCTTGAGTCTAAATTTAAGTTATTAACAACGTTAACATATGTTTTTTTTTAAATTTACTAAAATTTATACGATTTTTATTATTAACTAATGGTATAATTACTATTAAATTTCAATATATTCTGTCGTTCTGCTTACAAAATAATAAAATGTTTAATGAAATTAAAATGGTTATGACAAAATATTGAACAATTTTTTGCTTTTTAATTAAAGTGATTTCATATTTGGTTCGTATAAAAAAACCATAATGACTGCTGATGCCCTCAGAGTTTTAAGGTATGAAATTTTAAATTTAGTATTCTGTCATTTTAATTTCAGAGTTTACTATTTAATTTTATATATTCATATAAAATATAATGAATATTATTTAATAAGATCATCATTATTTAGGAAGCGATCATTAGAAGACTATGATGATGATTATAAACCATTATCAAAGCGTATGCATAGCATGTATCTTCTAGATTCACCTGGATCTGGAGACAGTGCTCTAGCTGATAATATATGTGGGGTAAGTATTATTTTTAACTTATTAAAATAAAAGTCGTTGTGGAAAATAATGCATAAAGCTAATAAAAATTATTAATTTGGTTTAATGTTAGATTTGGTTTTTGTTAGATAAAATTTATTTCTTAAATTTCATACCTTATGTTATCTAATCAAAAGTGTTGATAAAAACTCTATGAATAACTTTTTTTATTAAATATACAATTTTTATTTTGTTATTGAAGGTTATGGTTGGTAGATATTAACATTTTGTGTTATAGAATTGTGATCAAATTGATATGGTAAGTCAGATTTGGATGCCTTTATAAGTTTATGACTTAAAAATTTGTAATATTAAAAAAAAAATGTTTTTCTTGTTTTTGGAATAATATTTTATGACCATTTAATATGTGATAACAAAGCTATTTTTTATGGATTTTTTTTAAAAGTCATCCTAAGGTTTTCATAGTTATTGAATACAAATTTATATGCTTAAAACTATAAAGTATCTTAAAATATTAATCTCTAATAAAAATGTTAAAAATAATAGCCAGTATGAGTTTAGCTATGATGACAACAACATAGCTGTTTGAAATACATTTTCCTGGTTTTTTACCATGAATAGCTTTTAGACTCAACTAGATAAGTTTAATTAGAGCATTTTTCAAGGTGCTCTTCCAAAAAATATTTGTTTATAATAAGTGCAATTTAAATATTTTGGAGATTATCCATTTAATTGATTAATAATCACTAATTTTTATTTATATAATTAACATTTTAGTAAATTATAAATTCTTACATTATTAGACATCATCAAAAATGTTTCCTTTATACTACCTGAAAAAAGAGAAATAGTATTTATATAGTATAAGAACAAGTTAAATTATATTTTATAACATAAAATATGAAATCTCTGATTATTTTAAATTATTAAGGTTTTGTGTTTAAAATTAAAAGAAAATAAATCAAATAGTATAATTATTGTAAGTGAGAATAATATTCAACATATTCCCAGTATTTTTAAATTATTTTTTATTGTTTGTAACACTAAGTCACCTAAAAAATTGTTTATAATTGAAAATTATAATACTTAAATAAATTATTTACATAAAAACTATACATTATTTTTGTTTAAAAATGATACTAGTTTAATAAGTAGATGAGTGTTAACTAACATTAAACATATATTTTAATTTATATTATGTATTATACCACAACTTCAGTATTTCATAGTTTAGTTATTTATATAATAAATAGTTTAATTATTATTTTAAAATAAAATTATTTTACAGGATGGCTCATCTTCATCGTCACTGTATAATAGTGAAGCTTCTAATGTATCTAATTATAATAATTTAGAACTTCAGAATAATGACAGAAATAAAAATCAAGAACAATTACAGTATGATCCAGATCTTACATCTGATCAAAATCCATTTTATTATGAGAGTAATAAACTTTTGTTTGATTTATATGTTGAAAGAATACATCGACATGGACAAAATTAATAATTAAAAAAGCTTTCACTTAATATATATAATGTCAAGTAAAAAAATACAATTAAATGTTTTTGTTTTTTAGATTTAAGTTATAATTCTAATTAGTATTTTTTAGATATATATTAAATATTTTCCAAATTTTAAGTTATTAGGGATGATTAATTTATATATATATTCAAGTATTGTTGAAACAAAGTATCTTTTCCAGCTTAACAAAATAAAGCTGAAAAATATAATTATTTTAATTTTAATATTTATAACAATAATAAAATGTTTAAAGCAAAGAGTGTTCATTAATAAATAATATGTATAAGTGAATTCTTATAACATATTTTTTTTTGTTTTAAGGATTTTTTTTACTACCTTATTTATACTACCTTCATTGTAGTTCATATATAAAATTGGGGACCAATATATTATATGTTTCTGGTTAACTTGTACTTTAGATACCAACAAATATTTGAAATCTCAATATTAATAAATACATATTTGAATTATAATTAGCTAACTGTTACTGTGAAAAATATAGCTTTTTTGTTTGCTTATCGTATTTTTATTTTAGTTGTTTATCTTGAGTATTTTTATTTTTATTATATTAATGTCATTATTTTTTGTATATGTAATCAAAGATTTATTAAAATATTAAATTAAACATCAACCATAGAACTAATTTAATAAAGCAATATTTTACCAAAATATCTAAACTAAGTTTACTGTGTCTTGCTTATTTTGTTTTATATGTAAAATATATTTATGTAATTAACTAGACATTAAAATATTAATACTCTATGTATATATCTTTCAAATTAGACTATAGTTTCATTTGATAATAGCCATTTTAGTAACATTAATTCAATAAAATCACAAAAAAATCATGATGTAATAATGAAAATTTTATTTTTGTGTGTAAATAAATACATAATTTCTTTAAATAAACTTACATTACATTTTTATGATCATTATAATATTGCAATGCAAATGTACTTGTTTTTGTAAAAATGACAAAAATATAATTGTATTTTTCATAAAACAACAAATAAAAAACCTAACACAGGGGGGTCGCGGCACAGTGGTGACGTGGCATAGTTGGATCAAGTATAATGATATCTGACAGAGATTAAAATCACTATCAAAAAAAGAACGCTTCGATGCAAATCTTTAGATAGAGTTTAATTTTAAAAAATTGGTGGATTATTCCAAAATCTACATGATCTACTATTTTCTTATTAATATCCTGAATAAAAAAGGGATTATTAAAAAATATCATTTCTCATAAAAAAATTGTGTTGTTCCATACACTTTTCAATAAGTTATAGCATTATATAAAATGTAAAAAATAAAATCAAGAATTTTCATACGAAAATAGCATTTNTTTTTTCACAAAAATAGCATATTTTTGCATACGGTAGCCATTTTCACCATAAAGACAAGTCCAGAGGTCAAATTTTTTTTTTTCATAATAAAGTATAATACATTATCTTTAATTTAAGATATATATAAAAGTGTCAGACCATCCGGAACATTTTCAAAAGTTAAGTTGAAAAAGTTGTCATTTTAAAACCCCCCCAGTGGGCAGATAAAGGGTCAAATTTACAAAAAAAATATACCAAATAATAGGTAAAGACATCAAGCATCTATAAAAAAAAAAAATTATATTGATTCGGTCATTTTTGAAAAAGTAATGGCAGTTTTAAGTAAAAAAAATTGAAAAAATGTCAAAAATTAGTGATTTTTAAATTTGTAATTTTTTTGGAGGTTTCCCCCCTTTACGGGGAACGAGGGAAATTTTTTCAATTTTTAAGGGTAATGTCTTCGACTAGATACGATTTGTGATCTTTTGACGTATCGTTGAAAGAAATCCGTTCGGTGAGAGCTGAGAAAAAGTGGTAACAGACACAAAAAAAAAAACACACATCATAGTAAAACCAATACCTTCTCAGCTTCGCATCGAAGCTAAAAGTTCAGTTGATAAAAAAAATACTTTTTATCCAACAAAAATATTATTGGACGTTTATTGATAAAAATCGGTCTGGTGAGAGTTGAAAATAAGTGGTAACATACACATTTTCGCCGTGAAGACAAGTCCAGAGGTCAAATTTTTTTTTTTCAAATTAAAGTATATTACATTAGCTTTAATTTAAGATATACATAAAAGTGTCAGACCTTCCGGAACATTTTCAAAAGTTATGTTGAAAAAGTAAATTTTTTGTGAAAAAGTTGTCATTTTAAATCCCCCCCTGTGGGCAGGTTAAGTGTCAGATTTACAAAAAAAATATACCAAATGATAGGTAAAGACATCAAGCATCTATATAAAAAAAAATTATATTGATATGTTCATTTTTGAAAAAGTTACGGCAGTTTTTAGTAAAAAAAATTGAAAAAATTTCGAAAATTAGCGATTTTTAAATTTGTAATTTTTTTGGAGGTTTCCCCCATTTACGGGGAACGAGGGAAATTTTTTCAATTTTTAAGGGTAATGTCTTCGACTAGATACGATTTGTGATCTTTTGACGTATCGTTGAAAGAAATCCGTTCGGTGAGAGCTGAGAAAAAGTGGTAACAGACACAAAAAAAAAAACACACATCATAGTAAAACCAATACCTTCTCAGCTTCGCATCGAAGCTAAAAACACATAGTGAAATTAAAACCTTCTCAGGTTCATGTTGAAGCTAAAAAATTATCGATTTCATTTAGAATTTTTTTCAATTTAAACTTGTATTGCATTGTATTGATTGAGTTATTAATAACTTGGTGGATTGGTAAATTATGTCTAGTAAATTTTTGATAATTATAATATCAAAATTCTATTGAATAGTCATTATTATTCAGGTTTTTACGATTTAGCAGCTATATTTTTCAAAATTAAATAAATTATTATCTTAAAATGTATAAAGACATTAGTATGCAATTATTAGGATTTTTACGTTTTAAACAAGTAATATTTGAAATTATGTTGTTAATGTGTTTAAAATAACAAAAATATCAAAATTTACATTGGACATTTCAAACTTTTTTAAATAGTTTTTTTTAAAGCATGTTTTTCAACAACTCTGGCAATCAATAATATTTTAATTTTAATGGTTGATGTACTTGTTGAATATCAACTAACCATTCTTACCTTTTGGAGGTCGGCAGCTGCTAAGTGAAACCTACAGATCGGTGCCATTATATAGCGAAGTACTTTTGTTAGAAATAGCTTGTACTTTTTGTGTTTTTCTAGTAACGGAAATTCTTCGTTATTCTCGTTACTATTTATCATAATTTCTAATTATTTATAAAGTATTAATTATAAAGCTCAATTGTATTACTTGTTTACACCAGAAATGTTTACCTGTAAATAATAGTCGTTTGATATATATTATGGACAAAGGTTAAATGACAACCAATTAAAACTGATTATCCAAACAAAAACATTCCTCTATACTTCGCGTAAAAAAAGGTAAGTATAATAAAAAAACACAGTTCTTAAAGTTGTTTTATAATTTTATAGCTAAGTTTTTTAAACTATAGATATAATTTGTGCAAAAATTTACCAAATTTATTTTTTACTGAACTAGCGTGATGACTAATTAATACTTAAAAAGCTATAAATACAATTAAATAACTTATTACTTTTTTTTTATCAATATATTTTAGACTACTTATTACCATTTTATACCTCAGTCAAAAATTTTAAAAGTTTTTTAACGGTTTCCATTAAAATTATTTAACAAAATAGAGTGCTACTGTGATATTTTATTTCAAACATTTAACTCATTTTAAGCGTTGCTTCACTATTACGAGTTACATTAACATGAGAAATAATGTAAAATACCTAATAAAATAAGTTTATTTTTAAATAGAAAAATTTTATCAAATATAGATGCTTTTTATTTTGAAATTAAAATCATAATTGTACAATTTGAACTATTTAAGTTAAACTTAATATTTTTAAAATATAAGCGTAAAAATTAATTCCTGTTTTTATTTATGAATTATTTTTTTAAATTTACATTATAGTAGTCTGAACTTCATTACTGTAATTAAAAAAAAAATAATTAATAGTAAATGTTTATTGATGATAATAATTAATAGCAAAATTGGCGTATTTAAAGGTGGCGACACAAGGACTTATACCCTTCCCATAGTCAAAGTTATGCTGCCATACAAATTTTTGATAACTCTTATTTAATGCTTACAATATAAGATTGTTCATAAATAAAATGTATTATCCTTCCCTTATTTAATTTCTAAATACGCCCCTGAACAATCATGCTAATACCTGTCAATTATTTCTTCTAATTCTTGTTTATTGCTACAAAAAATAATATGACTGTCATTAATGCCATCAAATACTCTGATAACACTAGGTTTAAGATTGAACATGTACATTTTTTGACCTTTTCTTGATAAATCATGTGATATTGTTGAAAAAACCTTATCAGTTTTACATACTTAATTACATTAAGAAAATATTACTAATACTTAATAAAAATAAAAGTTACATTTGCAGTTGTAAAATCAGCTTCAAATATTCTTGAACCATCAATTACTATTGAAAGCTCTCCACTATTATCATATTCTGTTATAAGTTTTCTTACATTCTCAGTGGAAGGAAAAATTAGATATCTATCCGGAGTCAACAACAAATATTTTACATCGTTTGAGGTCTAGTTATCGAACAATTAATTTAAAATAACTTTTAGTGAACTCAAAATTGCATAATATATTTCAAATACTTTTAAAAAAGATTTTCTATTTATAAAACTCGTCGATTAGAGACTAATACATCGTATCTTAAATAAAAAGTATAATATTGGTACCTAAACTGTCATACGAGTTCAATAAATAAATCAATGATTTCCGAAAAATTAATAATTTACTATTACTTTTGTAATTAGTTGATGTCTACAAAAAATTTTTTATGAAAAATTTAAGATGCATTATTTTATTATTTATATAAGAAATAATCTTATAGAAATAATGAAATTGCGTATGTACAAGCATTTAATTTTATTCATGTTTGAACAGTGTAAAATTCATGTGTTGGATATTATTTTTTTCTCTGTAATTACTACAATTAAGCAATTTGATACGAATTTGCTAAAAGAAATATTTGACTAATTTCACCATATTTAGCTTTAAAAGAATTTATTTTTTAGTATACGATTGGTTTATTAAGAACAAAATATTTATGGGTAGAACAAAGTCTTCCAGATCCGATGATAAATTCATTCAATGAAATAAACTTTTATTTTTAAATACTCTTCTTAAAAATATTTTTATTTAACAGAACTAGAAAAATTTTATATTTAGTTTTGAATGTTCGAGTGGAGGATAATTTGGGAACTGGACAAGGTACTTTTACCCTCATTATGTCTACAGGGTATTTTGTAAGTAAGAAAACGGGGCAATTGTTACAAATAACGAGAACAATGAAGACCCGTTTTCTGACTTACTGAACATTTATGTACAGGCTAGCTGGTGAAAAAAAATAATATGAAATAATGACACAAAACAGAAATTTACCAGTTCAATATTATTTCTTTTTTAATCGTTTACCTATTGAACGTTGTCGTTGGGATAATTTATTTTTAACTTTTAGTACATAATTTAAGTTTTCTTTTAACACATTTTTAAAGAACGGAGAATTTGTTGAAAAATTAAAAGATAATATAATATTTAAAAAATAACCCATTTTTTTTCAACTGTAACAATCTAAATTTTAATCAAGATTTAAAAATTTTTTATTTCTTTATTGCTAATTTGAGACAAAGAAGCCCACCCAGAGTCAAAAATTTCAAGTTGTATTCAATTTATACTAATATAACTGGCTTATTTTGAGTGTTTAGTAATTAATAAGCTCCTTATGTCTCGAGCTATATATTTACACAGTAAAATCTAAAATAATAATAACTTGTTCTATTATATAATAAGATAATAATAAGCTTAATATATAAAGCTTATATTTAAAAAAATTAGTTATAACCAATTTTTTCGTGAAAACTTCTAGTACTATCAGTATTAAAAAAAAAAGTTTTGTCGAATTTTTCTGGATTATTTAATGATTCGACCCTAGATTTCTTTCATTTATAGTAAATTTTTAACCAAATACAATTTGCGATATTTTATGTATCGTTAAGCGAAATTAGTTTTGTAGGTGTAGTGATATCGTAAAGTGATTATAATTTTTTCTAGATATAACTTATTAGTCGCCGTTCTAAGAGATATTTAATATAATACTTTATTTTTTTATTTGCACTAAAATGAAATATTTAGCAGTTTTTTTATTTAATTATCATTAATTTATTTAATGATTTTGTTTATTTCATCATTATTATTATAAAACATATAGTTCTTCAACTTTTAAATTAGGATGGAATAATTTTTAAAAATCGTACTATACCTTTTGAATTTCTATTGATATTTTTGGTTTTGCCGCACTTGATAATATAAACCCTATGTTGAGAAAAATACCAAAAAGTACTCCTATTTCTAACGGAAAAACTAGGCATGCAAAAAATGTTACAAAAACAAAAATGAGATCTTTTTCTGAAAAAAAAAAAATATTATTAAAAATATTTACAAAAAAAAATTTATTTTGATTCATCCATTTTTAAAAAAAGTTATGACAGTTTTAAGTAAACAAATTTTAAATAATAGCAAAATTTACCGATTTTATAATCCGCAAGGGAATCCGCAAGGATCACGGGACTAATAACCCTGCGGTCCCTAGTTAATTCAGTGAGGATGGCAACACGTACCACTGCTCTTAGTCGGTCATGACTTTGGTTAGTTGGGACCACTAGGCCTGGGCACACCTGCTTGCAATCAGCGAATAGGCCCCCTAACCCAGCCATACAAAGTGAAAGGGTTGCTACCTTGTCATAGGGTAGTTAGCCGAAAGGTAAAATGACCATTAGGATACTCTATAACAGCTGGCACACCATAGAGTATACAGCCTTATCGCAGTAACGAGCTCTGCTGTGATGGACCTTTATTTCTTGACTACTCGTGAAAACTATATGGATAAAAACATACAAGCACCACAAAATAACGAACTTGGGACAATCAGGGATCCTACGGACAACCTGTCGGAACAAGAACGTGAACTGGCGACTCTTCGCAGAAGAATCGCCGAACTTGAAGGTGTCAATGCGAACAACGGGACACTTGGTGAACCGTCTACTAGCAAAAAGTCAGCAACGTCAACAAATATAGACCAGGAATCACAATATCAACTAGGAACAGTAGCTGATGAAATCGAGGGTCTAAAACTTAGACCTGAGAAACTGAGTGGCAGTCAGAGGCGCAATCTGAAGAAAAGCTGGGCAATCATGGAGGGGCAAAAGAACCTACCAAAGGAGGGAGACAAGGGAACCGAAGCTTTAAAACCTGATGACAAGGTTCAAGAACCTCCATGTAAGAAGACTCATTGGGTACCGACCTACAGGGATGTGTTAACCGATGATAAAAATGTAGCTCTGGTCCTCGCAGGATACTCCACTAACAAATTGACCACAGAGCAGGGGCTACTCATTGAATCTTGTGTTGGAGACTTGATACTGTCGGGTCCTGATGGAACCCAACTAAACGTACCTAGGTTTGAAGACACCAGACTCATTGATGGAGCACTTGTGATCAGTACAGCCTAAGAGAGCTTTCTTAAATGGCTCACTAATCATGTCTAACTGATAAAACCTTGGGACTGTGCAGAAATCCAAATGGAAGCTTACAACCCGATTAAGTATAAACGGATGATCACTCATATACCAGGCCTGCCAAAAGAATCCAAGAAAATCTTGGACATTTTGGTAAAATAGAATTCAGGGCTGAACACGGCAATCTGGAAAGTCCACCATGAGACAGAAGTTGGCACGAAAGGACAAACTTTGTTTCTAAGTGTGAACGTGAAGAGCATAGTCAAACTGGAGGAACTGAAGCGCAGTCTATATTTTGGAATGGGCAGANAATAGAATTCAGGGCTGAACACGGCAATCTGGAAAGTCCACCATGAGACAGAAGTTGGCACGAAAGGACAAACTTTGTTTCTAAGTGTGAACGTGAAGAGCATAGTCAAACTGGAGGAACTGAAGCGCAGTCTATATTTTGTTTGCTTCACGGACTATGTTGCCAAGCAGCCACCAGCCCAGTAGGATGTGAAGAAATCAGTTCCACAAAAATCTGGGGAGAGGAAGGCTGAAGAATCACCAGTGCCATTTGGAAAAAGAGGCAAGGCACAGATAAGAAATAAACGGACTCACTTCACACCTGCCTTGAAAGGGAAGGGAGGAAATGGGTTACCTAAGGGAAAGGGACCCAGGAAACCGCCATCCTCAACAACGACCACAGCTGAAGGGAACCTTTCTACGGATCCAAAAAAAATATGGAGAGAGAACCCAAGGAGCAGTCGCCAACTGGGAACGGCGGGGAGACACCACCCAAAAATAAAAAACTGGGACAACTACAGGGCAGATCTTTTTTGTGACCTAAATAACCTTCAGTTTAGATTGGTTTAGATTACGATTTCCCGCGTCATCTACGCTCATATCAGCTGTCCTCATATCGCATTCAATAACATTCCTTCAACTCTTTTTTGGTCTTCCTCTAACTCTTCTTCCTTCAACATTCATTTCTATAATTGTTCTTACAGCTTCTGATTCCTCTTTCCTCACAACATGACCAAACTATCTATGTCTATTTTCTCTCATCTTATTCACGATTGACGCTACACTTATACTCCCTCTTATATGCTCGTTCTTTATCCTGTCTTTTGGAGAGAGATGAATTAGGTGATGTAAGGGGTACCTGGCAATGAGGATGCGGTGATAGGTGTAGATATGAATGGACATGTAAGTAATGAGAGGAGAGGATATGAAAGAGTACATGGAGGATATGGTTTTAGTCGGAAGAATGAGGCTGGGGAAAGAATCCTGAATTTCGCAGTATCGTATGATCTTGCTGTGGTTAATACTTATTTAAGAAAGAGGGAAGAATATTATAGAACATATAAGAGTGGATGGAATAGATCACAGATTGACTATTTTATATGGAAGAGAAAGAGCGTAAAGCGAGTAAAAGATTGTTAAGTTATATCAGGCGAGAGTGTAACTACACAATATAGACTGATGGTAATAGAGTTTTGGTGTACCGGGAAGAGATTATACAAAAATAGAAGGAACACGGAGGAAATATCGAATATCTGGTGATGGAAATTGAAAGAGGAAAATAAAAGAGTTAGTAATGACGGTCAAAGAGAGGACGGTGTGGAATGTCGAGGAAGACATTAATGATGTGTGGAATAAATTTGCTAGTTGTGTAAAGAATACTGCATAGGAGATTGTTTTATAAAGTAGGATTAGATGCCAGGAAACAAAGAAACCTGGTGGTGGAATGAAAACGTTCAAAAAATCATAAAAAGTAAGAAAAAGTAAATGAAAGTATGGCAGAAGAGCAAAAAGAGAGAAGATTGGATGGAGTATAAACATTTGTGTAAAGAAGTCAAGTGTGCAGTAAGTAAAGCGAAGTTTAAGAGGTATGATGTGTTGTATGATAGGCTAGGAATAAAGGAAGACGAGAAAGAAATCTATAGACTTGCAAAAGTAAGAGAGAAAAGGTCTAAAGATTATCATTATATAAGGTGCATAAAGAGTGTTGACAATAAGGTACTCTCGAGTGATGATGATGTGAAAAAAAGATGGAAAGAGTATTTTGAAAAATTACTGAATGAAGAGTACTCAAAAGAGACATTAGAAGATATCTCGTGGAATGAGGAACTGGTAGATTTAATTAGTGAGAAAAAGGTATGGGAGGCTGTGGCATCATTGAAAAAGAATATAGCGGAAGGATCAGATGAAGTGCTAAAAGAAGTATTGAAAATATTAGTCGGTGTTGGCATAAGGTGCTTGAAGGAACTTTTAAATAAAATCTTATTAGAAGGGAAAATTCCAATTGATTGGAGGAATAGTATTGTGGTGACGATATTTAAAGGTAAAGGTGACATACAGGAGTGTGGAAATTATAGAGACATAAAGCTTATGAGTCATAGTATGAAAATTTAGGAAAAGGTAACAGATTAGAGAATAAGAAATGAGACATCGGTATATAAAATACCACTTTAGATTTATGCCTGGTAAGTCAACAATGGTGCCAGTATTTTGTGTGAGGCAACTAATAAAAAAGTTTAGGGAAAAGAAGAAAAAGCTGTATATGGTATTATAGATTTGGAGAAAGCATATGATAGAGTACTGAGAGAGGTTTTAATGGGGGACATTAATGAGAAAAGAAGTCCCGAAAAGGTACATTAATATAATAGAAGATATGTATGATAACACTCGTACCCGAGTAAAAAGTGTAGGAGGAGTAACAGAAGGATTTCGGATAAGAGTAGAAGTGCACCACGGTTCTGCTTTAAGCCCTTTCTTATTCTCTATGGTGATGGATGAAATTACTAAAGAAATACAAGGAGAGATGCCATGGTAAAAGTTGTTTGCTGACGATATAGTGTTAATAGGAGAAAATAGGGAGGGAATTAATCAAAGGTTAGAAATGTGGAGATTAGCTCTTCAAGAATAGGGTTTAAGAATTGGTAGAAGTAAAACAGAGTATATAGAGTACGAATTTGACAAAGGAGAACACGAGATAGGTGAAATAAGGAGATCAGTGACAATAGGCGAGGACGTAATTGAAGAGGTGGAAAGTTTTAAGTATTTAGGGTCAGTTTTGCAAAAGAGCGGTGGTATTTACGAGGATGTAAGGCATAAGATTAAGTGCGAGTAAGTAGAGAGAAGCGTCTGGCGTCTTATACGATAAAAGAATTTCAATGAGGCTGAAAAGTAAATTCTATAAGACTATAGTGTGGCCAGCTATGATGTATGGTTCAGATTTTTGAGCGGTTGATAAGAAAGTTGAGCAGAAAATTAGTGTAGCAGAGATGAGAATGCTTAGATGGATGAGTGGAGTGACTAGAAAAGATAGAATAAGGAACGAGCATATAAAAGGGAATATAGGTGTAGCATCAATCACGGATAAGATGAGAGAAAATAAACATAAATAGTTTGGTCATGTTATGAGGAGAAAAGAGTTGGAAGCTGTAACAACAGTTATAGAGATTAATGTTGAAGGAGAAGAGGTAGAGGAAGACCAAAGAGGAGATGGAGGGATGCTATTAGATGCGATATGAGAACAGCTGATGTGAGCATAGATGATGCGGGAGATCGTATCAAGAGGAAATTTAGGATAAGGGTGGCCGAGCCCAAGGAGTTAGGATTAAGACAAGAAAGAAGAAGAAGAAGTATTTCTTTGGTATCTTAATAATTATGATATGAGTAGGTTAGAAGCAAAATTCACAAGTAACCATTTTCTTGTTTAAATATTGTTCTTATTTAAGAAGTCTTTTAAAAAATATATTTAATATTTATTTTATTGATTGTCAAACTGTGCTTAGAAAAATATTATAGTGATGGAAATTTGTGATTTTATAATTCTAGCCTACTAATATATTGGTTATTATTTATTAATAAATAAATTGAAACTTATAAATGATTATTAACTTTTAAATTATTTTATTTCAGTTTAATTAAGAATTTGATAATTCTTACTTTTTGAATAGTAAATTATTTTTATTGGTTCAATCTCGATCATCGAAAATGATGCAGCAATTATTACAGAGGCTAGTGATGCTTTTGGAATGTAATAAAAATATGGCGTCAGAAATATAAGTGCTACCATTACAGTTATTCCTACGCTCGAAAAAATACAATTACTTCTAATTAGTATTTTAATTATAAAAAATTTATATTTACGAATTTTACCTGTATATAATCCTCCTAATGGGGTCTTCACTCCGCTTGAATAGTTTAGTGCGCCTCTTGCTAAAGCTCCTGACCCAGGAAATCCTTGGACAAATGAGCTCCCTATATTTGAGAGACCTATCGCCAAAAACTCTTGACTTGTGTTTACAGCATTTCCATCAGCTAGTAAAAATATTTAAGAATAATTCTAGGAAAAAGATTTGTGATTATGTAAATAGAAGAAGACAACACAGCATAGTGGGGGATTATGACATAGTTGGGATGAGTATAAAAGATATTTAACAGTGATGAACATAACTATCATAAAAAAAGCTTGATGCGAATTTTGAAACTTCACAATTTGTATATTTTAAAATTTCCCTTAAATATTAATTGCCTATAAATTATTAAAAATCAAAGCTATATTAAAAATATATATTAATATTAATAAATATTGAAAATATTTAACTCGAATTGCCACAAAAATTATTTAAATATCGCAGATACGTTTCAGGAACAATGTTACCATCATCAACGCTAAACACATCTGTAGTTCACTTCAAGAACTTTAATTTGATGTAGCTTAAACATTTTAAATTTTCTGAAAACTTTTCAAAAATTGAAAAAAAAATTGTACATGTGTGGGTGGTTTTTTCAAATCCATACTATACTTTGGTTTTTTATTGAATTTTTATACAAAAAATTCTTTAAGATAGCATATTATGTTTAATATGTTTGTTTTAATATTTCATAAGGACAAGTATATATTTGAAAGAGTTATAGCAAAAAAACAAAATTATTTTCAAATTATTTTTTCATATTTAAGTATATTACATAAGCTTTAATTTAAGGTATTTAAAAAAAAAGCATGTCGAATGAAAAAAGTATATAAATAGTACTTATCATGAAAAAAATTGTATTGATCGATACATTTCACAAAAAGTTATAGAAATATAAAATTAAAAAAAACCCAGCACAGGGGGGTCGCGGCACAGTTGTGACGTGGTATAGTTGGATCAAGTATAATGATATCTGACAGTGATTAAAATCACTATCAAAAATAAACGCTTCGATGCAAATCTTTAGATAGTGTTTAATTTTAAAAAAATTGGTGTTTTATTCCAAAAGCTACTTGATCTGCTGGTTCCTTAATATCTCGATTAAGATAAAGTATGTCGAATGAAAAAGGGTTTATTAAAAAATATTATTTCTCATAAAAAAATTGTGTGGATCCATAAACTTTTCAATAAGTTATAGCATTATAAAGTTAAATATAATATGAATAATAAAATCGAGAATTTTCACACGAAAATAGCATTCGGTAGCCATTTTCGCCGTGAAGAAAAGTCCAGAGGTCAAATTTTTTTTTTTCAAATTAAAGTATATTACATTAGCTTTAATTTAAGATATATATAAAAGTGTCAGACCTTCCGGAACATTTTCAAAAGTTAAGTTAAAAAAGTAAATTTTTTGTGAAAAAGTTGTCATTTTAAATCTCCTTCTGTGGGCAGGTTAAGTGTCAGATTTACAAAAAAAATATACCAAATGATAAGTAAAGACATCAAGCATCTATATAAAAAAGAATTATATTGATATGTTCATTTTTGAAAAAGTTAGAGCATTATTAAGTTAAAAATATAAAAAAAAATTATTTTACAAAAATCGTAATTTTTTATTAACTTTGATGTCAACTTTCACCACGAAGACAAGTCCAGAGGTCAAATTTTTTTTTTTCAAATTAAAGTATATTACATTAGCTTTAATTTAAGATATATATAAAAGTGTCAGACCTTCCGGAACATTTTCAAAAGTTAAGTTGAAAAAGTTAATTTTTTGTGAAAAAGTTGTCATTTTAAATCCCCCCCTGTGGGCAGATTAAGTGTCAGATTTACAAAAAAAATATACCAAATGATAAGTAAAGACATCAAGCATCTATATAAAAAAAAATTATATTGATATGTTCATTTTTGAAAAAGTTAGAGCATTATTAAGTTAAAAATATAAAAAAAAATTATTTTACAAAAATCGTAATTTTTTATTAACTTTGATGTCAACTTTCACCACGAAGACAAGTCCAGAGGTCAAATTTTTTTTTTTCAAATTAAAGTATATTACATTAGCTTTAATTTAAGATATATATAAAAGTGTCAGACCTTCCGGAACATTTTCAAAAGTTAAGTTGAAAAAGTTAATTTTTTGTGAAAAAGTTGTCATTTTAAATCCCCCCCTGTGGGCAGAAAAAAGGTCAAATTTACAAAAAAAATATACCAAATAATAGGTAAAGACATCAAGCATCTATATAAAAAAAAATTATATTGATATGTTCATTTTTGAAAAAGTTACGGCAGTTTTTAGTAAAAAAAATTGAAAAAATTTCGAAAATTAGCGATTTTTAAATTTGTAATTTTTTTGGAGGTTTCCCCCATTTACGGGGAACGAGGGAAATTTTTTCAATTTTGAAGGGTAATGTCTTCGACTAGATACAATTTGTGATCTTTTGACGTATCGTTGAATAAAATCCGTTCGGTGAGAGCTAAGAAAAATTAGTAACAGACACACAAAAAAAAACACATCATAGTAAAACCAATACCTTCTCAGCTTCGCATCGAAGCTAAAATGTAAAATTAAAATCGAGAATTTTAACACAAAAATAGCATACGGTAGCCGTTTTCACCGTGAAGACGAAAAAAAAATCCGAAATTTTTAGTTGTTAATAAAATATATTACATTAGCTTTAATTAAGGACATATATGTAAGTGTCAATATTCCCAGAACACTTTCAAAAGTTAAGTTGAAAAAGTTGTCATATGGAATAAAAGGCCAGATTAAATAAAAACTATCAAATAATAGGTTAATACTTAATATATCTATATTTTTTAAAAAGTTATGGTAGTTTTAAGAAAAAAAAATGTCAAAAATTAGCGATTTTTAAATTTGTAATTTTTTTGGAGATTTCCTTCATTTACGGGAAACGAGGGAAATTTTTTCAATTTTTGAGGGTACTAAGTACAATTTGTGATCTTTTGACATATCGCTGAAAGAAATCGGTTCGCCGAGAGCTGAGAAAAAGTGGTAACAGATTAAAAAAAAAATACTTCATAGTAAAATTAATACCTTATCAGCTTCACATAGAAGTAAATTTTAAATGACTAAATATACCAATTTTAAAAATAGTAATTTTTTTTTTATTTTCACTCATTTACGGGGAACATGGGAAATGTTTTAGGGTAATGTCTTAAACTAAATACAATAATTTAACATATCGTTACACAAAACGATACGTCAAAAGTGATACATGATCTATTTCAAACTTTTCTTATACTAAGTTTGTTCATGAAATACAGAATAAAGAAATATTTATTGTCTCTTGTATATTTTATTAAAATTTATTTTGGATCAGTATTTTTAATAAAAAAAATTGTTGAAAATGCAATTTTTTACGATTGCGTATTTTAAAATATTTTTTTTAATTTTTTGAACAATTATTGGTTTGAAGAGATTAAAATTTAGTTATTTTGATAAATAAACCAATAAAATCGGTCTAGTGATTTAATAGAAAGACATAAAAAGAAATCGTGGTAAAACAAATATCATCTCAGTTAAAAAGGGACAAGTGATTATGTGGTTAACATAATCTACATTAAATACATACAGTCATTGGTTAAATTACTTTTAACAAAATTAAAATTATTTGTAACATTTTCAAAAATAATTATATATATAAAAATTTTAAAATAATTATTATAAAAATTAACTAGTAAATTATTTTTTGCAATGAAGTAATTCATACTTCTTACTGAAGTAATTCTTCATAACTATTAAATTACCTAAATCGTTATAAACATATAACGTTTGTATGTTATATAGTACATTTTTAGTTAATTAGTAGAAAGGGTTAATAGTTTCTTAAAATATACCGAATTTTCTACTAAGTGATATGCTCTCTAACATCGAGATTAGTGGAACAACAATAATGCCAAAACCCATATTTGTGACTATTTTAATAAATCCTTCTTCTTTTCTATCTACATTGATATTAAATTCTGGCCATTTTAGTTGAGGAAGGCCAGAAGGTATCTTGCCTAAAAAAAAGTAACTAAGTATAATCTTACAATTAAATATTTGAAAAAATAAATTCTAAAACTAAACCTTAAAAAAAATTACTTAATGATGATAGTTAAATATAATGTTTATGATGAAGTTAATAAATTCGATATATTTTTTTTCTTAAAAAATATCCTTAAAACCCTTTTTTATTACTACAATAAAATTTATAAAAATTTAATTATAATTAAACTTGGTTAAATATTAGCTATATTAATATTTTAAAAATGACAATGATACATTTTAGAATTATTCCCCTTAATATTATACATGTTCTTGTAATAATTATTAATAGAACATGTATTAATTATAATTAATAAAACAAAACCATGGTTAAAAAGTAAAGTAAAATTATACTTTACTTTTAACCATTTTTATAAACATTTATTTTTAACTTACCAATGATTTTAAATGAAATAGGACGTGAACTAGAAGCTTTTACAGTATGATTTGAATAATTTATATAGTAATAACTAATAAAACAACATACTATTACTACAAATAAATTTCGAAAAGCACCTATCATCCATAGTATTTTAATTAAAATATTGTGTTTTGACATTTTTTGTTCTTGATTCTTTATACCAACATGTATATTGCTTAACATCTGTTAAATAAAATATAAATATATAAAATATTTTTATATTTATAAAATTTAGAAAGAAGTGACACTTAAAGGGTCCCAAAGTGTTAACTGCTTTACCTTGTCAATTAGTTAACACTACACCGCAAATACAAGCAAAGCGTTGTCTATGATAAAAAAACTAAGCAAATTTGGATTAGATTTTGTAAATAGTACATATAAATGGAGTAAATGATGGCTCATTTATTTCTTATAAATCTTTTAATAGCCAGTCGATATATTTATCTCGATAAAAATGAAAAAATGGTCTTTTTCAATAAATTATACAATACACATGAAGATTAATGATACTCTTTTAATTATCTTATAAAATAATTTTTATTCTAAGTATGAAATTATAGAGTTTTTCTTTTATTTTAAACCATTTATATTTTGTATTTATCTGTTATTACTCTTAAATATTATACATTTTTTGTAATACAAAATGTATTTTGTTTTACTTTTAAAACTTGCAGTGTAAGAATACATGATACACCTATAACTGTATCTGTATAATTTTCAACATTGACATTTTTTATATCTTTAGTCAATGATTGCACCATTTGTATTAGTGTGGCACCACGAACTTTGATGCCCGTTAAGTCTTTAATTTGTGAACAAATTATGAGAATTCCAACCGCTGTTGTGAAACCTGTAGTGACTGGTACAGATATGAAATTCATTAGCATCGCCATGCCAGTGAAATGCATCAATATTTGAATGATTCCAGTAATAAAGCACAGAAAAGTAGCATATGTTGGACCTTGATCTTGAATCGTATTATAGGTTAATAGAGCCACAATAGCTGATGGACCCATAGGAACTGATTTACTGGTTCCCATAAACGCGTATACTATTGGACTGATGAATGAACTGTAAAGGCCGAACTAAAATAAATAATATTTAGTGTGGTGGTGATAATTGAAATATTAAATTGTATGAATTATGCTATTAGATATTAAAAAAGTTATAGTTTGGATTATGAATAAAAATAAATAAATAAAATATATTTATAACAAATTATAATTAATTAATATAATATTTTAAGTTCTAGTTCATAATATAGTAGAATTAAAATCAGATGAGGGATGACCTCAGTGAGTGATTCTTGTTTATTAAAAATTTTTTAACTAAAAAGAAAATAATATATTATATAATAATATATATAATATATTTTCTGAGATAATGTTTATTAAAAATAATTAAATTCAAAAATTAGTATTTTGCTATTCGTATTACATAATTTATTTTATTTGTAATACATATACAAAAAAGAAAGAAGAATGGAAAATAAAAAACCTTAAAGGGTATTCGAGTTTCTAAATAAACGTGAAAAAATTATTTGTAAAGCATACTGTATCCTTTTTTGATCTAACACTATAGTTCTTATAATTTTTAGTTATTTTATATTATTATACATTATAAAATTAATTTAAAATAACTAAAAATTATTTTAATTTATTAAATAAAAAATTAATTATATTATTTTATATAATCTGATCAGTATAATAACTTACTTGAGCTGGTACTCCAGCAATACCAGCTAATCCCATTGACTGAGGTATAACAGTTAAACCAATTGTCAGGCCAGCTAGTAAATCACCAAAAAAATTACCCATGGAATACTCGGGTAGCCAATGCAGAATGTATAGTTTCTTTGAAATGCAATCCAAAAACGTGTGTGGACATTTGTAAATAAGATTTACACTATAATAACCAACGTGGTATTCTCTATCTTGATCATTTATCTCTAATTAATTTAATAAAAAAAAGAATATATATACTTAATTTGTATACGAGGTAATTCATTATGCACAAGACAATTTTATTCTTGGTATCTATTGAAAAATTTGAATTTCCGTATTGAGAAAGATTATTCAGATAAACTTAAAATTATAATTATTTAACTTTATAACATTATAACTATTATAAAGTTAAACAATTATTTTTCATTTCTTCAAACCCTTAGTTTTCATTTTCTTAAATAAAAACCTTTATTAGCTTCGACGCGAAGCAGAGAAGGCATTAATTTTACTATGATGTGTTTTTTTTTGTGTCTGTTACCATTTTTTCTCAGCTCTTACTGAACCGATTTGATTATTTATTCTATAATTAATACTATTAATTATAGAATTATTTGAAAAATGTATTGATCATTAAATATACGATTTTTATAACAAAATTCTTTTTATAATTTTAATTTTATAATTCTATAATTTTTTGAAAAATGTATGGATCATTACAATTTTTTATGATAAATACTATTTATATACTTCTACAATTCGACATACTTTTTTTTTAAATCGGACCATTTCCCTTCATAGAAGTGATTCAAAACTTAAAAATGCGTATAGAAAGTAAAACTTTTTCACTTAATTTTTAATTAAAATATATTTATTGATTATTCATAAATAACTTAATAATCAAACATAAATATTTGTTATATCAATTAAAAGAATTTTGTTATTATTTAGGTAATATGTAAAACTCTAATTGCAGATTTGAAATTGGTGTAAAAATGGGTTTAGAAAAGTATATTTTGGTTTCGGATGAAAATTCCTTGTAGACCAGTAAATTTATTTATAAATAACAAATTTTTAAGTATTGCATCAAGATCTTCCACTTTTATATTTGTTTGTCATAAATGTAATAACTACTTTATAATTTTTCATAATTTCATCGTAAAAATTACAATATTAATTATACAATATTTAAATTATTAAATATCAATTTCATACTATATTTAATTGCTATAATATATATATATATATATTATACTTATAAATCATAAAACTTGAGGATATAAAAAGGAAATAGGAGATCATGTAGCTTTTGGAATAATTTACCAATTTTTTAAAATTAAATACTATCTACAGATTTGCATCGAAGCGTTTTTTTTTATAGTGATTTTAATCACTGTTAGATATTATTATACTTGACTCAACTATGCCACGTCCCCACTGTGCCGCGACCTCAGTGAGATGAGTTTTTAAAACTAAACACTATTTACATACATACATTTTTTTTATTTTAATAATATAACAGAAAATTTTTTTTTTTCAATTTTATTTATATATTTTTTTTTATCCAATCAACGTTTGTATTTTAAAATAGTTTAAAGATAAAAAGTGAAAATGCGTCATTAATTAGGCGTTCATTAGACCAGAGACAGGAATAATTTGTTTTGATAGCCTATAAATTACGGTAGTTAACAATAAAAATTATATAAATCCCTATACATCGGTCGATTGAGGATGTACAATTGCGTTGATTAGAAAGATACGTCTTTCAATAGTTATAAATTATAATTATTATTATAATTTTTAATATTAATAAACAAATAACATTATACTTAAAAATGTCTGTTAGATAAATAAACAGAGGCATTAGAAAATGGAATTAGTACAAAATCATTTAAATGAATTTGAAGTTAACTGACATTAACTTTCTGTAATTGACTTAGGGCTGATAGCATAAATATATTTTAAGAATAAATTGTAATTTTTTTGCTATCATATTATTTAAATAATATTATGGGTTCCCATTTAATAAAATTAAATTGAAGTTTTTTAACCTTAGAGAGATAAAAAAAAGTGAATGACATATTATTATAGTTTAGTTAACCAAATAATTTTTTTATATGAAAATTAAATTTGTTGGATTTATGCACTTAATATTATTTTAATAATAATTTAGTATTTCTATTCGAAATAAATCGAACTTCTATTACTATCTATCTTATTAACATTACTTCAATAGTTATATCGAGTCTATGAATAAATTCAAATAAGCAGCAATAAAATAATTCTAATTTTATGACATATAACCTTAATACTAATTATTATTGTGTTTAACAATACATTGTACATAATAATTATTGATAAATTAGTATCCTATTAAGTAATCAGTGAATGATTACACTAAGTACATTTAATTGTTTTGATTAGTATTTTGTGAAATTGGTTTAATGAAAAAAAAAGAACTTACAAGCTGATTATTAAGTGATAAAATTGTTTTCTCATCATTCCTAACAACCTGATTTATTGTTATAAATTCTTTTATCTCAATAATTTCCTTTAAAATTCTATTTTATAATAGTTTATATTTTATAAGGACTACTTTATTAACCTTTATACGTACCTACATTACAGCCGTCATCATTTTTAAATTTTGGGTTCTCCATTTACTCTTAATCTAAATTACAAAAAAAAATTCACATTATTCATGAAGTAATACAATCAATGTGTTATATTACTTTTTACTATTATCGAGATCAAAATTATTAAAAAAACCATAACATACATAAATTGAATATTGATGTATGCAAATATCTAATTTTTAAATACCAAAGGAAATCACTTATCACTAAAATTAAATTAATAAAACTAATAGTATATGTAGCAATATTGTAGCCTATATAATGTATAAACACCTATGAGTTTCATTCAATTAATAGCTAAGTACTAACTAAGTAAAACCACTACATCAGTTTTTTATAGTATTTATTATTTCACTTAATATTTGAAATGTTATAACATATGACAGTGCAAATATTGTTTTAAAAAAAATTTAAATCCTATTTTTGGACTATTATCAAGGTAAAAATGTTATTATTCTCATTTTTTATCTAACTGATAAAATGTATCAATCGACTAAAAAAATGATGTTTTTTACGTATAAAAAAACTATTTTATTTAATAACATCCTTATTGTTTTAGTGCGTATGCTAACCATTATATGTCTAATAAATAACATCTCCTTTTTCTTCGCCTTAATCCCAATTACTACCCTTATCCTAAACTTCCATTTTACACAACCTTCCACATCACGATGACATTGATGTGAACGTATCACATCAACAGTTTTCATAATTCATTTAATACAATACCTGTATCTTTTTTTTAGTCTTCATCTACCTTTTCAACCCTCAACATTTTATCTATAACTATTTTCTTACAGCTTGCGATTCCTCTCTCCTCATAACATGACCAAACTATCTATGTTTATTTTTTCTCGTCTTATCCATGACTGACGCTATACCAATACTCCCTCTTATATGTTCGTTCCTTATCCTATCTTTTTTAGTTACTCCACTCATCCATCTAAGCATTCTCATCTCTGCTACACTAATTTTCAGCTCAACTTTCTTGTCAACCACACAACACTCTGAACTATACATAAAAGCTGTAAAACTATAAAAATTAAAAAAAAATCCAGTACAGTGGGGTCACGGCACAGCTAGACAAGTTAGATGATATCTGACATTCATTAAAATCACTATCATAAGAAACGCTTCGATGCAAATCTGTGTTTAATTCTAAGAAATTAGTGGATTATTACAAAAGCACCATCAACTTCTATTTCCTTAATTATATCCTGATTAGTAGTACTTTGATTTAAAATTATGATATATAAATAAATAATAACTATAGTAATTAAATTTAGTAACAAATTGATATTTAATAATTTGATATTGTAATTTATAAGGAGAAATTATAAAAACAATAAAATAATTCGTTTCTTATTCTACCTTCTCTAGTCACTCCACTCATCCATCTAAGCATTGTTATCTCTCCTATACTCATTCTTTGCTCTACTTTATTTTCAACCGCCCAACACTCTGAATCATACATCATAGCTGATCTCACTATAGTCTTCTAGAACTTACTTTTCAGCTTCATTGGAATTCTCTCATCACATAACACACTAAACGCTTCTCTCAACTTCACCCACTCGCCCTAAATCCTTTGTCTTATACCCTCGTCAATACCACCGTTCTTCTGCATAACTGATCCTAAATATTTAAAACTTTCTACATCTTCTAACAAGCCCTCGCTTATTCTCACTGAACTTCTCATTTCATCTGCTTCGTTTTCTCTTCGTCAAACTCGTACTCTATATACTTTGTCTTACTCTTACTTAATGTCAAACCCTTTTCTTCGAGTGTTAATTTCCACACCTCTAGCCTTTGATTAATTTCCTCCCTATTTTCTTCTATTAACTATATTGTCAGCGAACCACATGTACATGGTACCCCTCTTTGTATTTCTTTAGTAATTTCATGCAACACTATTGAAAATAAGTAAGAGTCTAAAGCACAACTTTGGTGCACTCCTACTCTTACCCTCTTACCTATTAACGGCTAATCTTCTTTTATGATTTGATTCTATTTCAAAAGTTACCATAGTAATTTAACACTATAATGAATTATACGTAACGTTATACTGAATTTATAATTTTTCTATCTGGTCCTGTGTTAATCAAATGGTTATTTGTAGGGATCTAACTCATATATAGGGCGGATATTCCCCCAAAAATATTATAGTAAACTAATATATAGAATATGTATAATATAATAAATATTACAACCCCTCCTTCACAAAAAAATTGATCTTGAAGACGTCTCTAGTAGTGTGTTTTTTAATATCAAATTTACTAACATAAAAATTCAATAACTTTTTCAAATAAAATTTTTTAATTTTTATTTTACTATTGACCTTTTATTGACTTACAAAGATTTTCCGAATATTAGCATTAAAAAACATTACATATGCCCATAGGCGTAGGGTGTTCAAATTTTTTAGTGAGCTATTTTTAATTGTTTTTTATAAAAAAATAATTTTTATATATAATGTAAATAATTTTGCTAGATATTTGAGTGAACTAAATCGTAAACTGAGGGGTTAAGTCACATAGATAATTCTATACCTATGTTTATATCTTTCTAGTCCAGTCGCATTGGGATAATTTTAATGGCCTAAAAATGTGATATTACAATATTTATATATATATATATCCAGAGTGGCTTATGATTTTTTAACAAATCTAATAACTATTGATCCAGCAAATATTATTTTAGAATTTTATTAAAAGCATATTTTAGTTATCTTAAATTAAAGCAAATATAATGTACTTTATTATGGAAAAAAAAATTTGACCTCTGGACTGGTCTTCGTGGTGAAAATGACTACCGAATGCTATTTTTGTGTGAAAATTCTCGATTTTATTTTTTACATTTCATATAATGCTATAGCTTATTGAAAAGTGTATGGATCAACACAATTTTTTTATGAGAAATAATATTTTTTAATAATCCCTTTTTCATTCAACATACTTTATCTTAATCAGGATATTAATAAGGAACTAGCAGATCATGTAGCTTTTGGAATAATACACAATTTTTTTTAAAATTAAACACTATCTAAAGATTTGCATCGAAGCGTTTTTTTTTTTTATTGTGATTTTAATCACTGTCAGATATCATTATACTTGATCCAACTGTTTGAGTGTTCCTTTAACTAAAATTTAAAAGGATAACACTACAAGTGTCAGAAGTAGACAATAGAATATGGAAGATTATTAAACGATGTTGAGAGTATTCATATATTGATATTTCTATATAAGAATATTATACAAACATAACATATCACTAAAATTTATGTTAGTAAAACTTAACTATACTAGAAATATATACATAGGTACATTAATAGATTATTTAATAGTAATGTAAAATAATACAATAAAAGCGACCTGTACATCCACAGATGGCTGTGACCTGGTTTGCGGCAAAATTGTATGTCTTGCTAATAACAGGAACAGAGTGACAGGAAAACAACGATTAATCTTAACCAAAAGTTAGTGTGTTTTGAGTATCACTTTATATGTAAAGAACTGGTTTGCGAAATGATGAGTGTATATACACCCTTTTGCGGTAGTTCAAAAGAACACAAAATAAAAAAAAAAAACGAAACGATAATATACCGTTCAGTTTGGTATCAACGATACTCGAGCGAGCGTTTAATTGCGAATGAGTAATAATGAGTCGCGTGGAACTCGTTCAATTATTTTTACCAGCGGTCAATCACACATTGATGTGGCGGTCACAACGTCACCACTGTGCCGCGACCCCCCTGTGTTGGGTTTTTTTAATTATAAGGGCTATTAAAGGATCAAAAATGGTTTATGATTCAGACAAATACTTATACTAAAAAGTCGACACAACTGACGCTGATAATAATAATACAAACTTACGTTTAACTATAGGAACTTTCAATAATTTGTTAATCCATAAACAAAAAGAGAAAAATTTTAACGAAAAATATATATAAGAAAAAATTGGGTGTATAAAATAGAACCAAAATGTAAAATATATGTAAACAAATTTAAGCTCACGCAAAGAAAGATAAGAAAGGGAATTCTAAAAAAATAATAAAATAAAATATTTTTTTAGCCTTTAAATTATTATTATTTAAATTATATTTACTTCAGAAATGCATTCGAAACTTATCAAAAATAAACGTTCCACAATCTTATATTTTATGATAAAAAAATCATCTATTTCATTCCAATGAAATTCTTCGCAATTGTATTCTTTAACAGCATCAGATATCTTAAAACATATTAAAAGTAATAATCGTGACGATATAATTTACCATAAAAGAACAACTAACGTTTTTACAACTTTAATTTTAACAATTTTTTTTGATAGTGATTTTAATCACTGTCAGATATCATTATACTTGATCCAACTATGCTACGTCACCATTGTGCCGCGACACCCCTGTTCTGGGGTTTTTTTTAACTCTTATAACTTATTTATAATTTATTTATTTTATAATTTTAAATATTTTCGGGGAGAATTTTTGCTGATAATTTGTCACAAAGGCAACTACTATATAACTTTTTCTATTTTATCCGTAACAATTATGATGTTAAATTATTGAATATTAATTTCATACTAACTTTAATTGCTGTAATAAGTATTTTTTTAGTATACATATTAATAATAAATATTGTAATCAGGATATAATCAAGGAAATAGAAGATGATGTTATTTTTGGAATAATTTAACAACTCCTTTTAAAAATTTAGCATTATCTTCCGATTTGCATCGAAGCGTCTTTTATGATAGTGATTTTAATCACTATCAATTTAAAAAATATCTTCTATAGTTTTTTCCTCTGTGCCGCGAACCAACTATGCTGGATTCTTTATTTTAATATTTATCTTAAATAAAAAATAATTAAATATTTTCATTTTTTAATATTAAAAATGTTTTAAAATTATAAAATAGCCATTTTTAGCTCTTTTCTTAAAAAAATGTTAACAAATCAATAGCGTTTTAGGACAAGTACTCATTGATTTACACGGATTTTAATACATAGAATAGTTATCTAGTGAAGTGAAGTACCGCTCTTAGTGATTTTATTTATAACACATACCCCCCACATGATCTATATACCACTATATATATTACAATGCTTGTAACTCAATGAGTATTTGCCCTAAAATTGTTATCGATACATCAAAATTTATTGTAAAAAAAATATCAAAAATATTTTAAAATTTAAAAAAAAAATAGTAATTTTTATTTTGATTTATTTTTTTCTTAATAATGGATAAATAATAAAAAAAAAGCTTAAAATGCAGTTTAAGATGTCAATAATTATTTCTAAAAAATTTCAACGAAATGAAAATTGGATCAAATTTGAAAACGAAAAAAACCTAATATTTTTTCTTCATTATTTCATTTATTTTACGATTAGTTCAGTGGTTTATGATAAAATAATCACCTTTAATTTAATACACTAATAATGTTACTGACGTGGCTTATGAAACAAGATAAAATGGATGATTTTATTAATTAGAAAACCATTATAACGCAACGTTTTTTCTTTTATTAATGTATTAAATTTAATTTAAATTACAATAGTTTTATTCATTACGTATATATATATAATTATTTAAGTATACCAAGCTAATTGGAAATTTTTATATACTACTTGAGTTCAAATAGATTTCCGATGCTCTACGTTAGAACAGTACTATTTACTATCTACAGTATTATACAGAATCACTTCAACTAATTAAGAGTAATTATATGTATATTACGCGAATGGAAAACAACGACTGTCTGTAAAACAGTACCCAATTGTGGCTATAATAAACACTCTTGATAATTTAATATTAGTCATCAGCCTCCCGCTACTTAGATTTAGTGTATAAATTAAATTACATGGAAATGATATTCAATATACCCAGTTTTACTAAATGATCTTGGTTAAGGCCATGGAAGGAAAATGTGTCTGTAAAATTTTTCATTTAACAAGTGGGTACTCTGCAATTAAAACTATGAAATTTAAATTAATATTACTCTATAACAATTTACATGCAATATACAAATACCCATTTGTATATTGCAAATATCTCAAATAGCTATTTAAAAAAATAATATAACATTAGGAAAATCAGTTTAAAATACTGAAATTTAAAATTACTCAATATGGAAGTACAAAGTATGAAAATATTAGATAATTATATATCATCTAATATTCTAATGTTATCATTGATAATATTACTATTCACTGTAATTGTTTTTATTATTTATCTAACTAATTTTTTTTTTTTACAAATGAAGTCCACACTAATATAACGATAATCAATTATTCTTTTGAAATTAGCTATTCAATATTATTGTAATAGTTTAGTATTTTAACAGTAAATTAGTTATTCATTTGGGTTTCTAACCAAAAAATTATTTATTTTTAGACTAATACCTACTATAATAAATCAATAAACTTTTAAAATAAAATGAGAAATTCCTTTCTAGTATAGTAATAAATATAGTTTTTTTTAAAGAAGTAAAAAATATTACTAATTATAATATTTTTAAAAAAAGCTGTTTTAGGTTTTTATTTAATTTATGCGACTGAACGAGAGTAAATAATTTCAATTATTTTGTAAAAAAAGAAATTTGTTCATACTCAAATTAATTTTATTGTCAAATAAACACATTCACGCTCATCAAAATTTGTTTTATTTATGAATAGTTTACCTATAGTCTATATAGTTAATTATATATTATATAAACGATTTAATTCAGATAAATTTATATATTTTTTAGATAAATGTTGCTGTCAATGGAGTTGCCAAGCTCCCTTAATATCACCTGGCTATGTCGCTGCTCATTTGTTGTCTTTGGTACATATTTTTTTTTTTAATTAAAGAAGTTCTATATTAAGTTAAAGGACAAGTTGGCAAATTATTAAGTTACAAATACACAAATTATTCTGAAATTTAGCAGATTCGCATTGAAGAGGGTTTTATGAAATTGATATAATTCACCGTCAGATATCACTTAATATTTTCCAAACTACATCGTGGTATAGTTTATAATAATTTTAGGACAAGAACTTATTTAGTTAAAACTATTTAAATACATTAAGTGAGTATCTTGTGAGGGTGAATGAACTCGTTCTAACGTATGTATACTCTACCTGAGTATCTATTGTATATTTTAAAATGTCTTGTAACCTTATTTATTGACATAGTAAATGTGTTATTAAATTTTCTCAAAATATCCCAAATGTCACAAATTGGCATAGACCCTTTAGTTGTTTTTCGTGTAGGCAGGTTGTATACATGTATTTGTTATTCTTACAAAACATTGTGATAACAGTGATTTGTCTTTTATAAATTATTGATAAAAGATAAGAAAAATACTAACATGTGCGTAGTATTTATTTGAGAGTTTGTTATTAATGTAGTTAAGAGAAATTGATTTTTATTTGAACAATTTAATTCTCAATCTTTCATTTAGAACAGAATTTTTTTTTCGAATAATTTATTTTTCCTATAATTGAATTTATTTGACAGCAAAAATTGGAGTTGATTGGTATTACATTTTATAAACAATAATTATTTAAATTATGGCACGCAAATTTAAAAGTAAAAAACAAAAGCGTGTGAAAGATGTTTTTGAACAAATTGCAAAACGTAATGAAGAGTAAGTTATTTAAATGGTTATTCAAATATATATTAGATTAGGTTAATTGGTAAACATAACTGCTTGATATTAATCTGAGAAGTTGCTAGTTTTGCTTTAGAAACATTTATCTTTAATAGTGTATCAATTCACATGAATACAGAGTTTTTTTAGATTGGCATTATTAAACAATATAAAAATCTAACAAAATGTTTATTTTCTAAAATAAAAATGATTGAATTAGTTTAATTTTATTATTAAAATACATTATTTTATGTTACCATTTTATATTGCAATTACTTCTTATGTTTGATATTGTTTTAGATTAAAAGGCAAAATTAATAAACCTCCTAAAGATCCAAAGTATCAAGATGTACCACGTAGTTTGAAAGAATTTATACAATTAAAACAATTAGCAAAAACAAATGCAAAAGTTTTATTAAAACAAAAGAGTTTACATGATATTAACATTGGAGGTAGTAGATTACCAAAACGGTCACCTAAATGTGCATTTAACATTGAAGATCAATCATTAGAAATTATAAACTCTGTTAGCAAGAATGATGAAGAAAATAGACCTGCTACTGTACTATCTACAAAAGAAAAATTATTAGAATTTAAGCGTAAACGACAACTAAAAACAAAACTAAAAAGGCAAAAAAAACAACAAAAAAAGAAACAAAAGCTAGAAGAAGAATTTCAAGATAAAGTTGAATATGACAAGGAATATTTAAAAGACTGTTTTAAATTTGGAGAAACAGTACATTGTCCACCGAGTCTAACAGTAAAACCAAGAAAAGCTGCTATTAATGATTTTGAAAATCGGGTAAAGCATATAATTATAATATTTTAGTTTGAACTACTCTTTATAGACTATATCTCATATATAATCAAAAAAATAGTTCTATAAAACTTCTAATATTTAAACTATATTCTAAATAGTAATTTTTATAAAATATTTTTTTTAATGAAATCAAATTTTAATTTCTATTTTAATTTACAGCCTGGGCGTAAAGATGATTTGTTCTTGAAATCTATGCTGACAGATCCAGGAAATATAAATAAAATGAAAAAAATAAGTAATGTAATACTTAAAAAACCAAATGAAAAAACTATCAAACGTAAAGCATTTACTGGTAAAAGAAAACAATTAACACTGTCTGATAGACGTGTAATAGAAAAAGAAAGAGATTTTGCTGTACAAACCTATAGAGAATTAAAAAAAAATGTAACAAATAAAAATATTTGATTATAATTGACTATTTTGAATGTAAACTTATCTCCTGTCTTATATTTATTTTGATACACTTACTATTGTAAATGTACTATGAAAAACTATTTAAAATGTGTTTTAAAACCACAAACTTTTAACCAAAATATGTGTTTTTTGTAAATTAATTAAATAATTTTATAGTTTTAACTCATAATTTTAGTAGTTTAGTAATCTTAATAGTCTGAAAGTAGGTTAAATAATAATTGTTGAAATGTTGACCATATTCTTAGACGAATTCACTCATAGAATAATGAAAAAAAATCTTTTTAGTTATCAAGTAAAAATATTTGAAGTTTATTGACATTAAAAAAAAATTTTTTATACAGAATAAGTAATCACTATTATTTATAAGTTATCGTTATTAGTCATTACTACCTTTTAATAATTTAATTTATAAATCTTAAATAACAGGTGTTCAAAAACATATTGCCATATTTTAAGCAGCAGTTATTTCTATTTTTAGATGTTGAGTAGTAGCTAACTCAAGATATTTTTTTCCATTAATTAATGACAACATGCTTACTGTTACAACTGACTCAATTAAAAATGTTATAAGTCGTTGAAATAATTTGATATAGTGAGATTTTAAAAAAAATTTTTTGTTAAAATTATAACTTTCAATATCAAATATCTCTGTTTTGGTCTTGGCATTGATTACATATCGATGGTAGTATATTAAAAGAGCTTATATCACTAATAATCAAAAAAAAATTTTAGTATTAAAATATACGAAAAATAAACAGAAAAACAACAATAGATTTTGTCGTTTTAATATTTCTAGATTCACATAAAAAAAGTAATAATCAATGGGTTTACAAAATTTTTACTGGATTATGATAAAATTTTATATTTTAAAAAACAATACAAATAATCATATAGAAAGAACACTCGTATTCTACAAGCTCTACTTAACATGATCTCCCACATCATCTATAAATCCAACCCAACACATCTGAAGTCCTTAACATCTTTAATTATATCTGAACACCTCTGTTATTATAGCTTCCGATTTCTCTCTTCTCATAATATGACCAAACCACTTAAGCCTATGTTGTCTCATCTTATACACAATCGACACTACTCCTATGCTTTTTATTACATATTGTTCCTTATTCTAATTTCTCCCGTCACTCCACTAATCCATCTTAGCATTTTCATCTCTGCTACACTAATTGTCTACTCTACTTTCTTATCAACCACACAACACTTTGACCTATAGAAAATATAACTACAATCTTATATAGCTTTTCTTTGAGCTTCATTAGATTTTTCCTATCGCGCATAACACACCAGATACTGTTAAATTATTAATAAATTGAAAAATATATAAGATTAAAAAGAGTTATCTTATGGCACAAAACACCAAACACTTCTCATCACTTGATCCACCTGCACTTAATCTTATGTCTCGCATCCACGTGTATAACGCCGTTTAATATAAATTATCCTAAATATTTAAAATATTCCACCACACCTATCATGTCCTAGTTTATTGTCATTACTCTGCTCATTTCATCACCCTCGTGTTCTCTTTCGCTAAGCATCTAACGTCTAACTCTATATATTTAATTTTACTTTTATTATCTTTAATCCTTTTCCTTCAAGACCTGTATTCCAGATCTCACGCATTTGGTTAACTTAATTCCTATTTTTTATAATAACACTATATCATGGTGTCACGTCATCGATATTTTTAATAATGCTTGTAAATATAATTATAAATTAAGACAACACTTCCGCCGCTGGATAGATCAATATAATTTTTGTATGTCAAATAATATTTATATACTTTTTTCATTCGACACACTTTTTTTTTTTTAATCGGACAATTTCCCTTTATAGAGGGGCTATCTCTTAAGTGTTTTCCACTTCGTTTGCTACTTTACCTTAGCGTTACTTTCCTAAATTTCTTATAACAACGGTTCTTCTACATCTTAACAGATCCTACTACTTTTTTCTGTTTCATCGATCTCGCAACCTTCTACACTTCCTCCTCACTAACTAAATCTATTAATTTGTAATTCAACAAAATACATTTTCTTATTCTAAATTTTAATGGACTATGTCTTCAACAAAAGTACAATTTGTACTTTTGTTGAAGACANATCAAGTGATGAGAAGTGTTTGGTGTTTTGTGCCATAAGATAACTCTTTTTAATCTTATATATTTTTCAATTTATTAATAATTTAACAGTATCTGGTGTGTTATGCGCGATAGGAAAAATCTAATGAAGCTCAAAGAAAAGCTATATAAGATTGTAGTTATATTTTCTATAGGTCAAAGTGTTGTGTGGTTGATAAGAAAGTAGAGTAGACAATTAGTGTAGCAGAGATGAAAATGCTAAGATGGATTAGTGGAGTGACGGGAGAAATTAGAATAAGGAACAATATGTAATAAAAAGCATAGGAGTAGTGTCGATTGTGTATAAGATGAGACAACATAGGCTTAAGTGGTTTGGTCATATTATGAGAAGAGAGAAATCGGAAGCTATAATAACAGAGGTGTTCAGATATAATTAAAGATGTTAAGGACTTCAGATGTGTTGGGTTGGATTTATAGATGATGTGGGAGATCATGTTAAGTAGAGCTTGTAGAATACGAGTGTTCTTTCTACCATCAAATAATTAAGATAAAGTCGAGAGGAAAAAAGACTTCATTAATCAAAAAATAAAAACAAAATTGAGAATTTTTTATGTTTATCCTTTATATCTTGTAAGGGATAAACAATTTCATCCTAATCAGAGGTGTCATGGAGCGTATACGAGGGTATACAGCGTATACCCACTTCTTTGTTTTTCTGTTATTGCGTATACTTATAAAATCATGAGTGATACGCGGGTATACGGCGTATACCCACTGTTAGTTTTCTTATTAGTGCATATACGTATTTATAAAATAGTTAAAGAGTATAGACTAAAGAATAAAATAAAAAGTAATTAGTGGGTATCGAATATAGGTACGTTTGTCATAAAACACAAATTTTGAATAATTCTTATCAGTTTGTTTAATCTCTACAGTCATACCACATATAAACATATATCTGAAGTTATAAACACACAAATATGGCTCGAGACTATTATCATTTTAAAAATAGAATATAAATGTAAAACAAAACACTGTCAAAGTGTATAAATAAA